AATAAACTTTTCGCCTCAATAAAATAAAAACCCGCCAAGCGCGAGTCAGACTCGCCCACGAAGGGTTCTGTATCATTATCTATGATAAACTAATTGGTAAGTACCGATAGGTTGCCGAGCAACGGCCTCGCGGATTTTGTATGGGAGCCCCCTTAAATATTTTTAATTTTATTCTGTGTTTTTAGTATTTGTTGTTACAACGACAACAGAAATATATCATTTGTGAAATTTTCAACTGTCTTACTATCACGATTCTCAAAATACAGCCTGGTGACAGGCAGACAGAGAGTGGAGTCTTGGTAATAGGGTCCTGTTTTACCCTTTGGGTACGGAACCTTAAAAATGGGAAAAATCATCAATAATATTAAAATTATACCCACCAATTCATACGTGTGCGGTCGGCGTCAAGCATGTGCTTACTTCTCATTTTATAAATTTCGGTTTTAGTGCAAGAATTAAGGAGAGAGAAAAAAAAATAATAGAATATAAAGTAAGTTATAAAAATTTTAAAAAATTGCAATTTTAATAATGATAATACTTTATTTGCCATAACTCAAAAAAATGAGAAAAATACATAGAAAAAAGTGAACAAAAAAAGATAAAAATAAAACTATAATACACAAATAAAAAATAAAAATAACATTTTGGCAAAAAGGTAATAAGCTCAGCGATTTCTGAGAATTTCTCAGTGCTGATTTTCAGCTTATCCCTATATTGTAAAGCTTTACATCATTTACAAGTATTGACGAAAAAAAAATTTAAGTATATTGCTATGTTTTCCATTACCGCTGACCTCCTCATCAGGAAACCTGCTTCTGGATATGCACGGTGGGTTGTCATGGTGTCATATGCCCTAAGGAGCCGTGATAGCTCAGTGTCCGGGCGCTCGCCTTTAATTCAATATATACCCGAGCAACCTGAGTTCGATCCCCGGTGCCGGCACCAATGAAGTTTTTAACTTTAAGTGCTGAATTGTCACGTGCTCCGCGGTGAAGGAAAACATCGTGAGGAAACCTGCATATTTTAGAAATAATAACAAAAAAATGTATTTCGAAGATATGTGAAGTCCGCCAATCCGCAGTTGGGCCGCGTGGTGGACTATGCCCTGATACCCTCTGTATAGAGGAGGCCTTTGCCCAGCAGTGGGACATGTATAGGCTGTTACATTTTTACTTTACTTTACATATGCCCTAATACCCCTATGTACAGAAGGGGACTTTGCCCAGCAGCTGTAGGCTGCTACTTGCCAAGCGGGTAATTTTTCCCGTCAAAAGTCGCTAGTAGTTACTTGAGGTTAATAGAAACTTCAATACTGCCAAAATATAGTTTTCAATGCTTAACACTCGGTACTCTCCGATTTTACACGTAATTTGTTTTAGACATAAACTATTTCGTAATTACTTAAAGCATAGATTATTTAATATAGTACTGTAAACCCCGCGATTTTAATAAAGTCAAAATAAAAATCTTTATTCAATATAGAAGCATTACACTTACTTATTGATTGTCAAAAAACTCTACTGCCGGTTCGGAAAGAAAGCCACTATTAAAATGGCATACAATCTAAGTAATACCTAGTCCAATAACTTAGCAACTGCGCCATCGAGTCAAATGTGATACATCTTAAGAAACAAAAAAGTTTTGGTTCTTTAATGCTTTTGTGAAGATATTTAATTAATACACATAACTAAGTCTAAAGGGAAAGTAGATCGTCTTGGATGTCAAACACTACCTCGTTAAGTAAATCTCTGGTAGATTTTATTTATATTATCTAACCCAACATGGTTTATATAAACAGAATGTATCAGAGATTTGTAACAAGGTGTAACAGTTAACACGTAACATGCATACCGTGGGAACTGCGCTCAGTACGTAACGTTTCCTTTATGAATCCCTAATGAGAGATAATTTGTGTGAGAAACTTTGAATTGTTTACAACTTGTACGGTTATTTCGATAGTGGACACGTAAATAACATAGACTTTGCCTTTCATATACACTAAGCCTGATAGGTGTCATTGTTTAAACTATTGTACGCTTATTTGACATTTCAAAATCGTCTTTATACGTCTCATCTAAGTTGCAATGATTACATCTCCCGTATAATGTTTTTTTTATAAACTGTTAAATACTGTTAGATTTATTGCAATTTCGTACTAACCTAATAACAGTACATATCGATCGAAAACTAGCCTTACGTCAGTCACATCGAAGTATCTATTACAATTGATACGTTTGAGCAACCTACCATATATAACTACGCAAGAAAAATGTTAGCATCATCCATTAGAAATAACCTGTGAGCTAACCCATTGTGAAATTTTATTACGCTAGCTACTAATTAATGTGGTACGGAAATTGTAATACATCAATCACATTTAATTTCTCCGACACGCATAACGGCGTCCGAGTAAAATGTAACCCCGTAGATATCGCAAAAAAATCAAGCACATCGTGTGTGTCAAGTGAACGTCAACTATTTATATTTTTAAAGTGAAACTTCTTTATCGGGGTTGGAAAAAAATTTAGTGTAACATTTTTCCGTTACGCGCCATCTTTTTTTATCTTAAAATGTTCCTCTAACGCCATCTAGTGTTGAATAGGGGGTTTTATGTCGTCTTTATTCTTTAGTGGTTTTAATAGTTGACGCTAGATGGCGTTAGTTCCTTTGTTTGTTCATAGCAATATATATATATATGTTATATTAAAGTGATCAGCAAAATCAAAGGGTTTATTTTAATTCTAATTCTAAAATGTAAACACAATATATTTCGTATTTCAGTTACCATAAGCCATTAATAACACAAATATATAATAATCAATGATAGTAATAATTCTATTACAATTAATGAAATTCAATAATAATCTTTGTAGTAATGACAGTGCTAGCTCTAATACTTCAGAGCACGACACTGTGTCGACTTCCTCTTCTCCAAAGGCAGGCACCGCCCACCGTGACCTGACTGCGCCTTCCACCGAAGAGACAATCTGAAGCTGACCGATGATGCTCTTCGAAACCTCGATCGACTCCTGGAAGTTGCGGTTGCGACGTCGATCCAACGTCCGCAAGTTCGGGTTTCCAAAAAAACTTCACTCACAACTGGAGTCGAATGTCTGCCTTCTACTCACTGGCTGACTATTCGGCAACGAAGGACCATGTACAAATTCAAAGCGGTTGTATTTTGAGTCCGTGAGGTTAATTGAAATAAACAAGGTTCACGTTGCAAGTTTTTTAATCAACAATTTTTGCGGACCCTCATACTAATTACAACGGTCAAACCATAGTGTGTTTTAATTTACTACTAACGCTACCTATGTATTACAAATAAGAAACTAAATATTATACAAAGCTAAAATGAAATAATTGTAGAATTTGTATTTATGTCTATGATAATAAAAGCCTTTTATTAAACTTTATCTAATTTAACTTTATTTAACCAATTTCTGTTAAGTTGCATATAGTAAATTATTTTTAGAAAAAAAACGTCATTAAAAAGTTTCACGAGTGTACGCTAGTACACGCACACATTTTATGTTTCTCAATAAACGTTGAAAATAAAAGACGTACGTTGGTATTATCTTATAACCAGGCAGCTATATTCCACAACGCCATTCCAAATATGCAATTCAATATTTTTTAGCCCGACTGTGCCAGAAGAAGGGTTATGTTTTTCGAGTGTATGCATGTATTATATATTTAATTGTTTGGCACACTCTATAGACTGAAAGGCTTGATGGATTTTAGCTTGAGCGGTGTCGTTAAATTCGTATTTACTGTGAGAGTGGCACTGGGTATATTAAAATAAAAAAATTACACAGACGCACAATCGGGTTCTTTAGATTTTTTAAATTATATTCTCTTTGTTTTAAATAAGCGACACTAGTTAAGAACTGATGAACTTATGAGAAAACTTTTTTGAGCCAGGACTGTATCATGCTAATGAACCAAAAAGATGGATTGGATAGGTTATTTCTCGTTGATTGTGTTGAGCCATAATATCAATAGTATGCACGCGATACGTGAACGGGTCGCTCAATGAGGGATCATAAACACTTTTTAAGAATAGCGCATCTGCGTGGATTCATCGACGAATTTAGAGCACCGCTGGAGGCGCTCAGCACATGCGGGCGAAGCGGTGTGCGGCATATCACCGCATCCGTACTTCAGATTTCAGCGCGTCTCGATATTTTGCGATTTATTTTAGGAACGATTTATCTTTTGCTATTTTTTTTAATAAAATATACACATTGCAATACTCGTTGGGATTGGAAAGCGAAAACCATGACCCATTTAAACGATCCCCCTATAAGTGAGGTTGTCTAGTTGTTATGTGTTTGACGTAATTTTAATCATCTTTCAGAACATCGTTAACATTTAAAAATCAACCGGCGTTATTATCGACTAGAGATTACTAGACTTTTTACTAAAAATTGCAAAGAATATATTGTTCTTATAACTTACATATTTGATGTCAGTTAAATGCCAGTCTAATATAACATGAAAATACCAAAGAAAGCTTTACATTTTTAAAGACAAATAATTTTTTTACTCTTCGTGTTCCTCTGTATTTATAATTGCATCACACCTTATACCGTTTGGACGCAAATTTAAATTTTATTTTTTCTATCTTTGACTTAGTCTGCATTGCTTATTATCTCAACAACCATAACAACGCTTGCCCCACTTGTCCACGGCAAGAAAACCAACATGAATGAACACGAAGTGCTTTTAAAAATCGTTGTTTCTTCTATAATACGTTTAGATTAAATGAAGATAACACAATATTTTTTTATTAGATTAGAGCCAAGTACCTAAGCAATAAAAATTAGAAGAAGTTATTGAAATCTCTTCTATAGATATTCCGTGATGCGCGCACAATCGCAGACCTCTATCATTTTATTTGAGTATATGTATAAAAAAACAATCATTTGTCTAGGTGGAGACACGCCGAGAGTGGGATTGGTATGGGAACTCGGTGAGAACTAAAGTGCCGCAACAAGATGACAGATGGCGAGAAGCAACAGAGCGCCGGCGGCACCAACGCCGCACCGCAACACAGGAAGGGGCACAGGTGGGAGTTTTTGTTTTCTCTTTTTTATGTGTAAACTTGGCAAGCGAGCGCGCGATTCGCGGTCATCAGGATGGACGTCAGACAGGCTGCCAGTCATAAAAATAAAGCCAGTAACTGAAATAACATGTTTCAGAAAATAAATGATGGACATGTTGTGCCGACCCCACCTGGTGTGGGATAGGGGTAGGGGCAGGAGAAGGAAGAAAGAAGAAGGTCGTCCAAAACAAAAATGGGCCCCGGTTAGCTCATGATAATGCTTCCACTTCACTTCACACCAGTCTTCTGTGAGGCCTTGGTACCCCTGCTCGTTCGTGCAACAGCAGAAGCTGCTGCGTGGCCCTACTACGCTTATTAATCGTTTTATCATTCTCGAACGTAACTCGCCACAGGTGTCCTCGCATAAGTAAGCAATTACTTAAGCATGGTGTGCTTTGATTTATGAACCATTGGAGCGAGCAGAGATACGGTCTATCCGTTTTCATGGCCCCGACATCACTCGCTCGCAAATATTTACCAAAACATACATTTAAGCGTACGTAGTCTTCAATGACGAATTACCCAGGTACTTGAGTACCCACAATAAATGGGTTTCATTAACTTTCACTCACCTTCTAAAATTATAGATGGCCTTATAAAATATCGTTACGCGAGTGACAATATTTGGCCCTGCAAAACTTGGCTTCGGAACTTATTATGTAATAAACGTATGTATGTATGCATAAAATGTATGTAATTGATGGTATAAACTAAAAGTGGCAGGTTTTTTTTATTTAAAATAATTTGAATAAAAACATCGTGTTTGCGTTTTATATTTGTGTTGCAATGTTCAACTCTTTGAAATTTAGGTTAACAAACCAAAGATCTATCAGTCATGATAGCTCTACGTAAGGGCGCTCGCCCTTAATTTAACATACCTGAGCAACCCGAGTTCGATCCCCAGTGCCGGCACTAATGAAATTGTTAATTTTAAGTGCTGACTTATCACTTGCTGAGCGTTTAAGGAAAACATCGTGAGGAAACCTGCATTTTTTCAAAATAATAAGAAAGAAATATATTTCAAAGATATGTGAAGTCCGCTAATCCGCAGTGGGGCCGCGTGGTGGACTATGCCCTGATACCCTCTTTACGGAGGAGGCCTTTGCCCAGCAGTGGGAGATTAATAGGCTGTTACTTTACTTTTCTTTTTATATGTGAATTCCGCTAATCCGCAGTGGGGCCGCGTTGTGCACTATGCCCTAATATTCTCAGTATAGAGGAGTCCTTTGCCCAGCAGTGGAATATGTGTAGGCTGTTACTTTACAGCAACAGGGTTCTTTTCTTAACCTTCGCAAGCGTATGCATAAATGAGATCATGAAAATAGGATTAATGATTCATTAACATATAGAAGACAATCAACATAAATTTTTAATGATAATGATATAATAAAATTTAAATGCGACGTAATATGCAGAACGTCAAATGTTTATGGTGAAAAAATGACTTAATAACAAGTTAGTATATTTATATGATGATTAATACTCATAATTTGTAAAATTTTAACGGAAGGTAACTTTCTTGGCATATTTGAATTTATCTTTTAACTAAAGTAATCGCATCCTAAATTTATTTTAATTTTTCATCAAACAGTAACGGTATTGAAACTGGTCATTAGCGGTTTCGTTGGGTTGCAGGGATAGATTTTAACCCCTCAGAGAAACCACATAACTACAACTGAACCTCCTTCATGGGCGTCGGAAACCTCATTTGTTTTTATATGCAGTTATATGGACTAATATCGTCTAGCTAACCCGTACGAAATTTTCGCACAGTACCAAATAATAATGCGCAGGATTAGCATGCATTAATCAATGCCACATATCTTATTAAGAATAATAAGATTTTTCAGTCTACTTCGTTATGTTTCATTTAAACAAATTGTCAATGGATGAAAACATTTCCATATTTTTCGTCAATAGTCATAATAAAGAATTATGGAAATAATGGCGTACCGACAAATAACACCTTAAAATTTGATTGAGGTTTTGATAGTGATTTTGTCAAAACTTTAATTAATTTAAATTCACACATTTAGGTGTTGAAACATACTAAGTTGGTATTTAATTTTAACTTGACATGCGTATAATTCGGCTTTAAATATTAGAAATAGAGGATAGGCCTATTGCATACCTGCATTTTTGACTTGGGTACTTGATTTAAAAGTTACTATTTTTTATCCAAGATTTCGACCAAAATTTATTTAATTAATTACACATTAATTATGATATAAATGCCCTTTTTATTATTAATACTACAAAGCGGTATTTAAAGAAAAATTAAGTACATTGTTAAGATTTCATAATCATTTTAATAGCTATGTACTTTTTTCCTCAGTTGTCAGGTGAAACTCGACATACTACATGCATACATTATTACATACATATTTAACTTCACACTTAATACTATATATCCTTTTAAGCATTTTTGTATGGTCGAAGTTCATGTTGTGAATGTATCCATGTTATATCATATACACAAAGGTTATTCACCTTTGTTTATAGCTTTACCCAAAATAATAACGATATCCCACGACTCACTTTATGGTGGCGATCATCAAAACTCCTGGATATGAATAGCATCAGAATTATTGTAATTAAGTTAATTAAGTTGCCAACCTCAAATATGGAAAAGAAGGTAAGATCGGGTGAGTGAGGTAGCTGGGGCCCACTTTATTATAAAGTGGAACCCTACGGATGTTGCAAATGTCCTTGGGCGGTGGTTATCACTTACTTCAGATTAACCGCCAGTTCGTTTGCCACCTTCTCACATAAATAAATAAATAAAATAAAGGGGAAACGAAAATTCCCTTCCTCTCCTATGCTGTATACTTTCAAAGACCATACTACTCAGAGAGAAGGAATTAGCCAATCATCGATTACCAACAATTGCTGGATATCCAGCTGTTATTACGTCCACTTTGACAAGGTAAGTGCGCGCTCGTGTACGCAACTTGCGGCTAAGTCACGCTCCGATGAATCAGTGATGTAAATGTATAATAAATGAAACAAATTCCGAATCTGCCTCGCTGATCTTTATCGCCATTGCTTTTCCCGCCATTGCTATAGTCCAATAAACGATTATGAACTATGCAATGTAACCTTCATGCGTGCCTTTTACACTGATGTCGAATTTATTTCGCTTGTGGACATATTTTAATTCGGTCGCTACGGAAGTGTTGGTGTTTGGTGAAGTTATTTTAATCTAATAATAATTTCTGTTAGAGTTAAGCTTCAAAAAATTTTAGCAAAAAAAGTAAAAAACTATGGCATGTACGTTATGAGTGAATATGATCTTTTTTTTTGAAAATTCATTTAAAATTGTTTATAATAATCATAATATAGCATTCAAATTTCACAATAAGACTTGAACTCAATGAATACTAAGACAAGAATCTTCCCCGGCTCCATTTATTATTATCCGGTTATTTAAATGTGTATGAGGATTAGTTGTTTATTAAAAAATATATACGTAAATCATAACTACATTTTTTTAACTAATTTTGATTTTGTTTCTTAAAAATGGATATTTTTTTTCGTAACATTGAACATCTGCGAACTGAGGAATATTGAATTAACAGAACTGCTCTATTAAGCGACATCAATATTATACTACCTAATTCACAATAGGTATGTATACCTTGGCTTAAATGCAAAGTCCTACAATTCTATTAAGCGCAAATTCAGAAACAGATTCAAGGTAGCGCCTCAACAAAATATTAAACTATGGTAGGGCCATGCTGCAGCATCTATTGCGCAAACGTCTCACAGAGGTTTGGTGTGAAATGGAAGAATTATATTCATGCGCTTCGTCTCCAAAGTGACCAACCTTTAAAGCTGTAGGCCGATGTAGGCGGTATTAACTACAAAACTGCCAGTACAGGTGTTGTGTATCCAAAGTGATCAACAATCCCTTATGGCTTACCTTATGGCTTATCACCAAAACTGTACAGATTATAATGTTACGCATATGTTTATGGTAATTTTTCTTTTTAAATCGTATGTTTAATTAACCTGTATATATTGGACTACCGGAAGTCGGAACTCTTGATACATTTTACTTAGTACAAATCACCATATATGGCCTTTTATAGTGACAAATCGACATTATAATATTACATCAGTCTTAATATTTCTAATAATGATAAAAACACACTTGTTTCACAGTCTATTGAATAATAATAATACACATATTTATTGGATTCAGTGCTGACACGAAAACACAAATACAAGGAAGATAACGATTCAGCTATTGGACAACGCTTTGTGTCATTTGAGTTTTGTGTTTACTCTGCAGCCACATAATACGTTCGTGATGACTATATAACCGTATTTAGGTTTGGGAACATGTTTCATGTCATTCACAGTGATAACAATCATACAGGTCTGTTTCTACAACAGCGATATACAACACAAAATATAAGTAGTTACTAATGTGGACTTGAATTTATTAGGGACCACAAAACTCATATTTTTTTTAAAACGTTGCCCTTACTTTAGGATAACATTATCCTGTGTTGTAAGGACGTTTTACAAACATAAATTTCACGCGGAAGAACACCCAGATGCGATATCTGTGGATCGCACAAATAGTTGTCCCGTGTGGGAATCGAACCCACGACCCCCGACGCCGATGCCAATACCTTGGTAAATGCGCCACGGAGTCATCAAATTACGTCTTCGAAATTGTAATAAATTTAATGTTTCTTTTCTAGATAAATCTAATCTAGAAATGAAATATAGTTATAATTCTTAACATAAAATGGTTAATAATAAAATTAATAGGTATATAATTAAAATTAGGTTGAAACCGTAGATTATTCATTCCGATCATGTATTCATACAAAGTACGTCTCTTAAAAGTAAAGACGACATCCAAACATTTACGAAGAAAACACTTATCATTGGGTAAATATCGTTTAAGTTTCTTGACCTTTACAACTTAGTACTTAACAAATATACGTCGGTGAGTCAGTAACATATTTGAGCCCAATTTCAAAAAAGGTTGTCAACGTATCTCCAAACCCTCAGGTGTAGCAGATGTCGTTGGGTGGCGGTATTCACTTAACATCAGGTGAACATTCTGCTCGTTTGGCAACTTTTCCAATAAAAAAAATATTTTAAATTGTATGTCATAAGACTAATAATTTGTTTTTTGGCAAATGGATTAATTGATTTGAATATTCTTTATTGCACACACCATGGTAAAAAAATACATTAAAAATAATAATTATGTAAGTAAGATTGTTACACGCAATCCTTTAGAATTGGCTTATTGGTATAGTTATCGTCAAAAGTGATATCGCAATATCAAAATTTGGTCAGAAGAATCATACTTAAAGAGCCAAGTGATGGTTCGCCTGGTAACAAATGAAACAATTAAATAGAAATCAATAGATTAGGAGTCGAGGAAACATGAACATTTTGAACACTGCCTCAAAGAGGAATATATCTAATGAATAGCGAGTTGCCATGAATAATATTTTAGCCTGCTAAATAATGTTGCTATGCTTCGTAAAAGAAATGATGTTACGAACGTGTTCACGAGAAAAGATGAATCGAATGAAACAAATCTAAACACGCCTGTTGATCCTGTAGCCGATAACAGATGTCAGCGTATCGCAGATAGCGCATTTGACGACACCTGCTCCACATTCGCGTCCACCTCGCCCTGATATCTCAGGCAAAGCTTTCGGTTAGTCATCCTCGTGTGCACGACACAAGCTGTTCACTCGCTATTATGTATATCCGACACCCACCCACGAGTAGATTAACAGTTTGTATCGGAGCGAAGCTACTTGTTACGTGGTTTATTGTACTGCCGCTGCAGAACTATGATGCGAGGTTCGCGTGATAAGTTTTTTGTGTAATAAATGACTAAACATGGAGAACGTGAAAGGCGAACGAGTTACCTTAATTGTGGACAGGTATGGAACTCTTTAATGCGATTATAATAATAAAGTAACAATCATAATAAATACCAAATTTGGGCGATTCTGGCGTCGAAATATGTAAACCAGCTAAGAAGCTGTAGATATTATTAAAATGCGTTTTTAATTTAACGGTATAAAATAATTTAACTAATGAATCTGTAACATTACCAATGTTATTTTTATCTTTCGAGTAGCCCATATAGACCACAAAAGGCACGCGATGTTTTGTTTCTATTTATTGGAGGTCAAATTATAAAATACAAGGAAACCCGACAATCTCGTAACACGAGCACGTGCTAGTGACACAAAATGCGCTCGACAAGGGTTTCTTCGGTAAGTTCATTCCACCAATAACTATTCATGTGTATGACAAAAGCTAATTTTACCACTTTATAAATTGAACTCAGAGATTAATGTGAGACTTGCCAAAATCTCGCAAAAAAACTACGATGTATAACAACAAACAAATGCAAAACAATAATATAATGGCTGTTGCCCTTTCGGTGCTATATAATGATATTTTCATAATACAACCAATATAATAATCTTTTTCTTAAGTTTCATCGTTTTCTCATGATATCGAATGTTGAGGTGTATTTCCATCGACAACCTGCAAACTGGCGATAGGTCGTCATCCATGAGATCTGTTACTATTTAAGACTATTCTTCGATAACGCTTTTCGGTTCTACTTTTCGACCACGTTTTAGCTTACTTTCTTCTATGGCTGTTGAAGTCATTATGTTAGTTACCCTTTACCTCTGATTGCCTAACATAAAAACCCATGTTGATACTTCTGTTTTCCGCATAAGGAGGCAAGAGTCGATGTACGCGATGACCGGCTTGTACGCCGAGTCAGCGTGTGCAGAAGGCAGCGAGGCCGGCCCGAGCACGCCGCCGCACGTGGCCCATCCGCCGCGGGAGTCCATCAAGTGCCACAGCAGGAACCCATCGGCTGGTATTTGCGACAGGTATGAATAACGACTAAATACTAAACTAATTCAAAACAAACAGTTGTAGGCGGTACCTCTCATCCAGTGCAGGACACCAACAGATTTCAACTTTTGGAGTGTTAAATAAACTCAGAACGCCAAAAAGTTTTTCTTTTTGAAGTTGGACTTCTTTTGGCGCATTTGGAAACAATTATGAGAGTAAAATTTTTACGATGCGCGCGCTGACACCGGAACGCTGAAGTTGGTTGCAAAGCGACCAACTTCACGTAATACCACGGCAACCAATAACAACTTTTTCACATCGGTACATAATGTAAAATGAAGTCCCGCTGTCTGTCTATATGCTTAGATCTTTAAAACTACGCAACGGATCTTAATGCAGTTTTTTTACTAGATAGAGTATGAGTGTAAATAGACACCACTGTCTGACAGCGATCCACAATCTGTCCCTATAAAATTCGTTAAATAATTTTTATTTAAATGTTTAGTATTTCAATGAATACAAAATAAAACGGATACGTTTACCACGTAAAAACCATTGATATTTTATCACTAATAATACCCTTTATACTTCATATTTCCTTACTGTTATTAGAATCATTGTTGTTTTTAATTTACGATGCACTGGGTCAAAATTATTCCCATTTATTTTAGAAACTTTTGTCATACACCCGACAAAACCCATGAGCATTTTTATAACATATTTAATTAAATATATTTAATAAACCACAATAAAATACAGTTTTATGTAGATGGTTTTATGAAGAATTAATAAATTCAATACGCGTAGAGATTGTTGAAATCGTATCTGCGCCCCTGGCCGTATCTCAACGACCTTTTGTCCTGTTTCCGTTCGCTGGAATGGCTTACGATCAGTGCCTTAGATCTCTTTGCTGTTAACAATTATCTTTGTTATCGATTTACGAGGACAATATGCATGTGGCTACCTACGCCGTGGTCCTCTCTTCAGTTGGGCAGATTTTATCAATACTGACTATAGTTCTGTCAAATCTTTACGTTATGATCTTCTGAAAGTCTATAATTATGCGAAAAATTTGAATTATTCCTACGTATATAGTTTGAGATAACATGATATAATATGTTTGTGTCATCAATATAGCCTAAAATCATAATATATAAGACATATCTGATTATAAATGACTTTATAGTCATGTATTCAAGATTATAAAACCATCTTTGCACTTACGAAAAAATAAAATTATTTTTAAATAAGTTGTACTTGACAACTGGCATGATTTTATATGTATTATGATTTGAATAATAAAACTAAATATGCCTATAGAATACCAAAAAACAACTGACAGTTTGGTAAATAAAAGTTAAGTAAAATAACAGCCTATAATATAAATCCCAATAAGACGCGACCATAATTCAGATTGGTGGACATCATATATCTTAGAAATGTTTTTTTTAATTATTGGAAATAAGTCGTGATAAGTCAGCATTAAAATATATAGTAGATTGAATTAATAGAAAGCGCCCGGACACTGAGCCATCACGACTCTTAATAAGCTTGGTAAATAAGATTTTTACTTACAATTTTTTGTAACTGTGATGTTTCGACGAATTATCTCGGGTCAACTTCGATAGCTTCGGCCATGATATTTTGTGTTGTTCTAACATTACCGAATAAGTGCTTAATTATATTTTATGTTATTGTAGCAATTGAGGATAGAATGTAGTCGTAAGAGGTGTCTAACGAACGCGCATTTTAGTATGATCGAGGAGCATTTATCGCAGCCTTCATTTAAATCAAGTTAATTAACTACATCATTTTATAGTTACGCTATATTTTTTCCTGTATTTACGTATGGCCAGTTAAATGTTTTCACAATAAGAAATCATTGTTACAGAGAACGCGAGCGAGAGAGGGAGAAAGAGAAGCCCCACCAGTTGTTCCCAGAAATTTTAGACATTCCTCATGACGCACGTGACTGCGGTATCCTTACATGGAGACCCTTATTTATCCAGAGATTTTCTAGTATTAAAGTGAGCACCGTTCTATTATTTATATTAATCATGTATTACGCCGTTGCAGGATGTGAGTCGCTCGGCTCGATAACGACGTTTAAGTGTTTACATATAAGACGAAACAGCGCTTTACAAATTTGTTTAATCTTACCGAAATGTAAATAAACGTGGCCTATATATAATAATTTTTAATGTATAAATTCGCATTTCTTTCAGGTATTTGTATTTTTCCTTTCGTTCCTAGTGACGCTCCAGCAAGCGTTGAGCTCTGGATACATTAACTCTGTGATTACGACGATCGAGAAACGTTTCGAGATCCCGTCGAGCCTGTCGGGACTTATAGCGAGCAGCTACGAGATCGGCAATGTTATCACCGTGATCTTTGTCTCGTATCTCGGCAGCAGACGGCACATACCCGTCTGGATAGCGGTCGGTAAGTTATCCTACTTCTAATAGCTTTCAGGTTCAAATCTTATTTTGGCGCGACGCCAATTTAGTATTACTTTCATTCGTAATAATGCCGCAAAAAATTGTCCTTTGCAAAGTTTACCGAAAATCGCTTCAACACAAACACAAATGGACGACGTCTGGTTGACGAAGTTTTGTAGAATTTATTGCTGTTATAAAAAAGATAAGAAAAAAAAACGTGGTAATGTCCTCGTTTTCGCCAGACGAAACGTAGAATTATAACACTTCCACTTCATGGCGATCTTCCGTGAGTTTGTGGTACGTACCCGGACGGACCTGCCCACTCGTGCACCATCGATGACTGTTGCGCGGCCCTACCACAGTCGCGTCTATACAATCCGGTTGTTTTGCTATTAACTATTGAATGTATCGTTGGCGGACATGGACAAAATAAACGGACGATTTCCTCGTCCAGGGGCCGTCATAATGGGCATCGGCTCGCTGGTGTTCGTCGTGCCGCATTTCATAGCGGAGGCGAACAGCGAGATGCTGACGAACAACAAGTCTGACGACAACATCTGCCGGCTGCCAAGGGCCCTGGAGCAGGACATGAGCGGGCTGGGCAGACTATCGCAGGGTCTGCCGCCGAGCAATCTGAGGCCAGACAACTGCATCAAAGTGAGCGAAAACCCAAATTCACTTCAACTCTTCTATTACCTAAGTATTTCACATCGGTCTGTCTATGAGGGAGGGATGATCAGCAGTGGACTCAAACATGGCTGAAATGAGGCTGATTTCCCTTTGAAGTATAACCCTAAATGTCTTTAACACATAAATTAGGAGCCATACCATACATAGATGAAATTCTTATCACTATAAAAGTTTTAGAAATATTTTTAGAACATTCTTCTTTTCGGCGTTGACAGGAATCCTGGGATTTGAAGACAAATACAGGTTGGATAAGCCTAGTATCAGTTATCTATAGGTCTGACTGTCTGAACTAATTCACACGATTTTGTTATCTTTTGAATATAATATGCAATAATATAAATGAAACAGTCTAAAGTTTTCAAAGCGCTCTCACGTTCGCTGAACTTTTAGTTTCAAAATTTAAAATAAACACGATGACTATTCTAATAACACAATGATCCGGTGTCGTTAATTACTCCACAGTGAAAACATTTTATATTATAACAGACCAAAAGAATTTTAATTGTGTAAGTAGACCTGCACTCAACCGTATTACAATAACATTGCAACGAATGTTAGATCTAAAAATTATTCTTCTATTATTGTAAAATGTTTATCTTTATTCATCCCCAACAATGAAATTATTCAAATGGTGGATTTTAAATGATTGTCTTCACGATATGACTATGTATTTCTCACACATATTCGCCACGGATCCAACGGTTTCTTTAATAATACGATAACCTCCACGCCTTTCTCCAAAAAAATATTTAATATTAAATGTTGTATTTTAATTAGACTTCCGCCAATTATTTTACTAAAACGCCGTCTTCGTGCAGATTTGTGGTTATTACCAATTACGAAAATCGTTAAAAATGGCGATATTAATATTAGATGCATGTCTAAATCCGCGTTGGAGTAGAGAGGAGCAATGCGGCAGCTTTCATATGAACCGAAGAGATCACAGCCGTCATTTCAAATTCTAATGATAGCCTGGATTTTTAAACATCATAATTCTTGTCTCGTTCAAATTTAATTAGTATTTATTGATTAATCGTGTAGGCTATTACAGTTCTTTATTATAGCTACCTTATTTCTTCTTCACGGTAAACTCGTAAAATAAACAAATTCAGATTTGCCCACCTTTCCATTTTTTGACGTAATACATACAGTCGATTAGGTTATAAAATATTAATTGAGTCTGTGGTCAGTGCTCCCCATGATTAAGACGTGAATTTAATTAGATTTACTTTAAGCCAATTTTCTGTTTTTACCGATGATAAAGTTGACGGGAATAAATCGAGTGATCAAATTTAATGTTTAAAGCACATTATAAAAATCATCGAGTGCGTGAAATATCTTCGAATTTTAATGCTCACAAGAGCGAGTTGTATCCTTCAAACTGGTATTATTATATTACAAATACTACCTACTGGTGCCCGAGTATCGCCCCTAGGTTCATCTGAAACGTTTTAAGTACTTGATTAGCTCAGTGGAATATGGATGGAACTAGAACTAATTATATCGACCTCGTCAAGATTAAACATGTGAGACATAATATTGTGTTTTATAAACGAACAGATGACTCATTTCAGAGCTCTAAATGGCACGACTTAATTTCTCCCACCCCCTACCACAATCGAATCGCAATGGAACGCATAAAAGCTTCTTTATGGGTAAAGAAAAGGAGTGGATAACATTGCTCATTGCAATGTGGATGAAAATTGAGTTGCTTCAGACTTCTAAGTTAGCGAGTTTGCCACTTAATGAAAGATAGGATGGCAGACGAGGAAATTTATCTAAAGGCTTTTTGTCATAAAGTTCACGGGAAATAAATAAAATATATTTCAGGAAAAACGAACACAACGTTATCTAGTCCCAAATAAAGCAAAGCTTGTACTATACATGCAAAGCTTGTACTATACAATACTATACTAGTTAACTGATAAACACATTAAAACACTTTTTAATATATTAATACACATGAAATCTTTTATATATTAATGCATGAAGCAAAAACTTTGTAAGTACCCCTTTTTACGAGAAGTGCGCGGACGGAGGAGTATGAAATTTCCCACACTTATAGGTTATATAAAGAAGAAGCAGGTGCAGAACGCTAATATTTTTTTTAATTATGCATAAACACCCTCATACACCATCCTGCGCAAGAGACCGGTCGACTATCCTCTACGCCAATGGTGTTGTAAAATTATTAATTTATTTCGATGTCCAATCGTATTCGATTCCTTTTTACGTTAATCGCGTGATATCTCAAACAGAGCTCGCCCAGCACGTTCATGCCGGTGATGGTGTTCGTGGTTGCGCAGCTGCTTTTGGGCTGCGGCGGCTCGCCCCTGCTGACCCTCGGCACCACATACGTCGACGACCATGTCCGCCCCGAATCCTCCAGCATGTATATCGGTGAGTGCCCTCAATGCAGTGGTCATTCGTTTAAATTAGAATTCGTCCGGCAATTGCTTCACTTACCGAAAAGCAAGTACGTGATCTAGTTTATGTTGTTTTCTCTTTTTTTCTTTTTCATTTAAAAAAATCTATCAAGGAGATGTTAATTACTTAATAGTTACGTGGTGAAATATACCAGTATACAAATTACAATAGAAAATTTATAAAATAAAAATATGGAAATTGTTGCAGTCCTTTCTGTATTGTGGCTAATAACTAACGAAATTTTATTCAATATGGTGTCGTGTCCTTCGTCGACCTTCCCGCCGTACAACATATGGTGCGGTGCGTCGCAGTCGGTGCCATAAACCGCGCCACACGGCATTTAGGTCGACGACCCTATCCAGACGTGCTTTCATTATTTTTCCCTTACCTTTCATGTATGCACTAAAGCTAAATTAAAATCTGTAATGTAATACCAATTAAGTGCTCCTAATATTAAATAGTCTTTCCCTAAATTTCATTTTCGTTTTTCATTAACTTCACGGCGTGGCTAATACAACTGTAGAAAAAGAACAATACGAATGGAAAAGTTAATTATTATGGTTTTCAATAATTTATTACTAACTGAATTTTTCTTTATCAATTCCCAAGATAATTATCTAAATAAACCGAAAAAATATTTGTCCTATGAAATTCAAAGTTTTATCAAAGCGTCCCCCCTCTCCAACGTGTATGATTAATAAGGTCATGAAAAGTAATTACTAACCAGCTGATTTTTTTTCTGTTTGTTAATTAATATTTATATAATTTAACACCCACATTGTCCTACAAATTGCGAGGTACGACATCCTGGTCCTACGATCAAAATTTTTAGTATTAATACTTGATGTAAAAATAAATACTATCAAGCTGAATCTTCGTGAATTTCATCGTTTCAATGAGACGCCCAACAATTCCCTCTACGAAAATTCTCGATTGTGATTTATAAATAGGGTAGTAGGGGTGAAATATGTTGATTTGACGAATTTGAAAAATTTATTACTAACTGGATTTTTCTTTGTTAATTCTCAAGATAATTATTAAAATAAATCTTAAATATTTGTCCTACAAAATTTAAGGTTTTATCAAAGAGTCACCCCTCTCCAACATGTATAATTAACAAGGTCATGAAAAGTAATTACCAAACAGCTATTTTTTTCTATTGGTTAGTAAATATTTGGATAATTTAACACCCAAATTGTCCTACAAATTACGTGGTACGACATCCTAGTCCTACGATCAAATGCTGTCAATTTCACAAGACAATTTTTTTTATTAGTAACTGTAGGACAAAAGTAACATGTGATAGATTAGTATGTTTTTCGTCCAAATAAAACAATGTCCTACCAAAAATATTGTTAGTCCTACAAGAATTGTCATTTTCTTTTCTCATAAAGCTTTTCTCATAGCATAAAGTGACAACATATTTTTTGAAATTTAATTAACTTTATTTTGCAATGTACATAAATAAAAAAGGATTTTTTATTTGCTTAAAAAGAGGCCCAGAGGCAGATCATAAAGGAAACGAAGACGCGTCATAAACCTAGTTCGCGTATTAGTGATAATATTTTAACATTTAATATTTGTAACCGATAACATACTTGTTTAAAATAATATGCTTCTTTCACCTCGTGTATAATACGTTATCTCATTGTGTTCATGTTAATAGTTATCTATTACATTTATTTTGTGTACTGCATTTTATTTTTATTTCGAGGATATTTAAAAAAAAAATTATACTAAAACTATAACTATCACATTATTTATAATGATAATCCAGTTGCAAAATGTACAAATGCTTTGATTTTAAATTTTGTAACGACTCTTACATTCAGTCTATGTAAAAATGTAAGATTTTCATGAAATTTAATATGCAGGGTGTTTTTGGGGTTATAAATCGATCTAGCTAGGTAGTTGTTTTTAGATATCGTCGTTTTATCCGTGTTTTCGGGCAATGAAAAACTGCTACAATACCATTTGAATACTAAGGTAAATTTCGCCACATGTACAAAGTTACAAGAAATCAATTGGGTCCCGCAATCACAAGAACTGGGAAATGAAAAAAGCATAAGACCCCGGTTCGAGTCCTGAAAATTTATAAATGTTGAAGATTAAAACTATACCGTTAATAGTCTTATATTATTCTCAACTTAAACTGGTGTTTAACAACTTTAGATTATATAACGCCACTATCGCGAATGGAACAGCGTAACCGGTTAACGCCGTGACGGCACTCGGCGTCTCCATTCTCGAAACTTCACCCCGGACACGACCTTGACCTGCCCCTTTCTACCTGCCATAATTGACACACGGCTAAATTAATGCCTACTTATCCGTTACTACACTTGTTTCTATGAAACTTTATCCATTCATTTTAATTTTGACATAACATTTTAGATTTATAAAATTTTATTGATCTTTAAAAACGGTTTTTTTTAAATGAATGTTGGAAATTAACTTTTGCAATTTACGTCTGCTAATTGAAGCCCAAAAAATCAACAACATATTAGAAAAATCGTCATCAAAAACAAACTCATATTAGTAAAAATTTGATCAATGATTATTTTATTTTGTATTTCATTCATTTTTGTTTACAATTTTCTGTTTCTAAAACTATGAATTTAAAGTGAACTGAGCTTTACTATGCTGATGAAGTAATATGTTGCTTTTCTATTTTTCGATAATCTGGCTGGTCTCAAAATATTTTTTTTTAAAGTCTTCCTAAAGTTTTTGAAATGTATTTCACGAATTTCACTGTGATAGGACCACGCAACAGTTCGCTGTTGCACGAATGGGCAGGTCCGTCCGGGAAAGTACCCCGACCTCAAAAAAGATCGCCGTGAAGTGGAAATGACATACTTCTGCGTTTCGTCTGGTGAGTGAGGTAGCCGGGGTCGACTATATTACAAGTTGACAACGCTTCTGCAACCCTACCTTACAAATGTCCATGGGCGGTGGTTATCACAAGTGAACTGCTAGCTCGCTTGCCATCTCATTACAAAAAAACAAAATACTTAAGATTTTTCTCCAATTCTATTTCTATTACCTACTATCAATTGCATTTAATGCAAAAGTTGACATCGGCGTATTAACAAGATACCAACAATGGATAATAAATCGTACCAAATTATTATCATTACTATTACCTACAGTAAAGGTAAACATTTAGTACGAAGTAAATATACTTAACTTTGAGTATAAAACAGAACACTAGAGTTTTCGGAATGAAAAGATTCGATGAACTTCAATGACATTCGACTTCTCTGACAAAGTAAAGTTTTTAATAAGGCGCTCCTGTAGGGCGCTCCACAGGTGCGGTTTGAGCACAAGAGGTTCTCAGGGCGCCCCTTGATGACTCCACGCAGCTTTCATTCTACGTCCTATTTTCGACGAGGGCAATACGAAACGACCACTTAATATTTGTACATGGGTAGATCGTGTGATATATAATACGGTTGGGCAAAAGTATCTGTTTAAAAATATGACACACTTTTAACTTTCTATCTGATAATAGTTAAAATTAATTAGTTATTTTGTATGTTATAAACATTACTTAAAACCATCTCCCGGTGACATAGTTTTACATACAATACGGATTTAATTGTTAAAATTCTTAGTGAAACCTTATTGATCATGGATCCCACAGACTTATCGTGCTACAATATACAAGTAATCCCACAAATTGTTATCTAATTCCTGAGCTTTAAATAAAATTTATTTAAATTTGTTGTTAACTTTCTCTATCGCCCATAAAAAATAGCATATTTTACAGTAGTGCCGTAATAAAAACACCTTGTTAAATTAGAAAATATCCTTTTAATATATTACGTAAACCAAGATATAGAATTTATTTGTATTGTTAATTTTTACGTTTTATATGTATAGCGATGACCATATCAGGTATTATAACCCAGAAAAATATACATAATTTATATTAATGTTATACACCAAATTAATATTTATATGAATGATGTAATGTGATATCCGACCAGAGCAGTGATAATCCAGTAATATGGGTGTTTAATGTTTGATCTGAGGTCGTAAGTTTAAATTCCTGCGTCTTTCGTGTTTTATACGACAAATCACAGTGCATCCATTTCCGGTGTAGCACGACAGGCTTGCCACATGTCACGCTCGGGACTAAAGAGGTCGCTCAAAAGAAGATTGATCGTTCACTTCACTTAACGTGAGAACTGGTAAAAAGAAGTGGAAAGTTCTAGAATGTATAAATTCAATAAATAAGTAAGAAATATTTAGGACACATTTTTACACAATGTTCTCTAACTAAGCAACGCCCGTACATGAGTGCGTATGTACACAAACCGCTACCTCATTTGGGTCGTTTATAAGAAAATAAATTCATAAACATACTCATAAACATTTTGTATCCACTTTTTGGAGATTCGAAAATGAAAAATATTATCATTTATCACGCAAGCTTAGCTAGTCACAAATCACCAAGTTGAAAATTGCGCGAGATTTCGTTGCCACTAGCGGTGCAGAACTAGTGACTGACCTACTTTAAATCCGCAATGTCTTTAGACAGGCTACGGTTACCGCATGCAGGCTTTTTCACTATCGCTACTATTTTTGGCCAATAGACCACTTTATTTACATATTTTCGACACTTCACTGTACAATTTACGCGCCTGGCTTGTAAATAAACCAACATGATGTCAATGACTTAACTTAATGTGTTGGTTTGGTAATTACCAGCGTATATGAAACTAGTATATTTTTTATTTACAAATAACAAAACCGAACCAAACCGAAACAAACCACTAGATATTTTTTATTCGATTTTGAGGATTTCTCTGATGTATATTCTCTGCCAGTACCACGGTAACGTAATATAAATGCTTACTTTGTTATCGCCGTACTAGGCATCTGCAACCCTTCTATAAATCCTTACATATAAAATTGGCGTTTTGTACGGGGGGAATATGAAGTCAATTTTTTTTTGTCAAATATATTTAATTAATCAAAGTATGCACCGTTTTTATCTACTTTATGCTATGTTAGCATGTTTGCCATCTCAGGTAGTTCATTGATCCCTTTACTAAAAAAAACCATGGGGGGCGAGAATCATTAACTCTTTGAAGGCGGTTTGGACCGCCGCATCGGAGTTGAATTTTTTTCCTTATAAGAAGTTGTCCAAATTCCGGAAAAATGATAATCTGTTGGAACGAGGTCCGGGGAGTACGGTGGATGTCGCAGACATTCCAATTGCAGCTCATCTAACTTAGCGGTTGTTTTCGTTGTGCAGTGTGTGGTCTTGCGGTTGTCGTGAAGCAGCAGTGGCCTAAAGCGATTGACCAATCTCGGTTGTTTAGCAGCTAGTTCTTCTTTCATGGTTTGAAGTCGTTGACAGTAGATATCTGCCGTAATCGTTTTTCCAGATTTTAGAAAGCTGTAGTGAACGACACCGGCGCTAGTCCACCAAACACTCACAAGTAACTTCTTCTGAGTCACTTTTCGTTTAGGGCAGGGTTTGGCTGGGTCTCCAGGGTTCAACCATTGTGACGACCGCTTCCGATTATCCACTTTTCATCACAAGTAATGATTCGATTTAAAATCCCTTCATTACTGTGTCGGTTGAGCAAAGTAACACAGCAGTCGACGCGAGTTTGCAAGTTCGATTCACTCAATTCATGAGGTACCCATCATTCCTGTTTTTTTTTACTTTCCCGATTTGCTTCAAGAGGTTTATCACTTACCCCGAAGCCTGCAGCTATCTCTGAAATGCTTTGTGATGAATGAATGCGGATGATGAATCCGCTTCCACAATAGCCTTGCCTGAAAGTCGAAGTTTCCAGAACAAAAACATTGAATCCAAAAACGTACCGTGCTTTCTTTTGCGACACCAGCGCCATACACATCATTAATCCTTCGAGCTGTTTCTGCAGCACTGGTGCCATGCTAGAACTCGTATATATACCGATATTTCATGTTTTCCATTGTGAGGTAATAAGCGACGCCAAGGAATAAAATAATGAGGAAGAAACGAATGACTGTTCAAAACTGAAATGTACCAGCTAAATGCATTTATAAATTTGAATTTGGAATTCTTAATTAAATAGGATATTCAATATAATATTTCATATAATATTTCAGATCAAAGTGGTCGGTACGACAAAACGCTAATTTCATATGTAAGAACCTAATATTATTGTCCATTGGCGGGATGGCGGGGTTACTCAATACCGTATGAACCAGTACAACTCTGTTACGACCTTTCATTATAAAAAAACTGAACACTAAAAAAAAATCTTTAATATAAATCTTATTCATGAAGAAAATGCATAAGTATGTGTTATAAAAATGTTACGTAAAATATTGTTCATATTTTAAATAACTTTTGAAAAAACCGGCCAAGTGCGAGTCGGACTCGCGCACAAAGGGCACGGAACCCATTATCTATAAAAAGAGAAAAAAATCATGTCTTTTGTATGGGAGCCCCACTTTATTATATTTTTATTCTGTGTATTAGTATTTCTTGCTATAGCGGTAACAGACATACATCATTTCGACTGTTTAACTATCACAGTTCATGAGATAATATTATGACTAATATAATACGCCTGGACAGCGAAGTCTTAGTAATAAGGTTCCGTTTTACCCATTAGGTACGGAACCCTAAAAATATTCAAAAAAGTCATTACACATTCAGAATAACATGATTTCCTTATTGTTAAACTGTTCGTAGCATAACATTTACATAAGAATTTTCTTTCGTAGGTTGTATGTACAGCATGGCGGCTTTTGGTCCCGTACTTGGCTTCTTGCTTGGTGCCTACTTATTGTCCTTTCACATGGATTCGTTTTCGGGTGCTATCATATCCATCGGTAAGTCTTGATGAGCAATTTTTTCAAATTTTTTCTTATTTATCGTAGTTTAATGCAGCTCGCCTGGTTTTACGAGTTTACCTAGAGTAATATAAATTAAACGATTATATTGTAAAAAGTGACACGTTGAATTTGTGTGCTGTGGTGAAATGTGTCTGAAAATCGTAGTTTCTCAGGCGTTGGCATTAATTAAAACAACTGAGCAACTGATGATTAAGTAGGAATCCTATTCGGGGATCTGGAATGATTTTTAATCGTTTATTAGCTCTATTATTGCGTATTTAGATGAAATACGCAAGCGTTATCACATATTTGGCATTCTTCAAAATAAACGAAAAATACTCATATAGACGATTTTAAGGTGAATGAAGGGGAATGATAATACGTTTTCACTAAAAAGTTTTTATAGCTGTTACAAATTTAATGGTCTCCTGAAAACTTTAAGGCATTATGTTCTTTTTAATTTCTTTTTTATGATTCTAAGTTGTAAGAAAGTAATTATCAAAATAATGTTTTATTTCGGCTAGGTTGTTTGACTTGAAAATGTAAGACAGCAATTCTTTTATTAGGTGCTTATTAATTTAATTTAGTGTTATTTACTGTGCCTCTATTATTTCATTTTTAGGGTCGATCGATTATTCAATATTGTAATACTTAATGTTAATTAGTACGTTGCTTTCTTTAGATCCCGGAGACCATCGTTGGGTTGGAATGTGGTGGGGCGGATTCCTGCTATGCGGACTGCTGTTAATTCTAGTTGCCATCCCTTTCTTCTCCTTTCCGAAAGTACTGGTGCGAGAAAAGGAGAAAATACGTCTGGTCGAAAAGGCCGCCGCGGCCAGCGGTTCGTCCACTAAACCGCCGGCGAAACCTCAAACAGATATAAAGGATACGGGATATGGGAAAGATATTAAAGGTATAATTGTTTTCTTTTGTTATTTCATAATTTTTTTGGACGTGATTATTTAGTTTTCCCGAAAAAACCATTATACAAAAGTTTGTTTTAAAGTGTTATACACTTATATAATTTCGAGTAGTTCGATTCATGTTAATCATGTCGATCTATTTAACTGGTGCATTTGCGTATTTCATTGTTCATGAGTAAAATAATCAATTGCCATCTATGATATAAATGTTGCCTTTAAAATAATTTAATTATAATTTTAAGTAAAGATTTATCAATAAATAAGATAGTAATTGTGATAAAACTATGGTTGATTAGAATCGGAATGGAACTAATGGAAAAGATTACATTATCATGTCTACAAAAAATGTATAAGGAACCATTAAAAACTGTGTAAATTATTCATTAAAGCTGGTGTAATTTTTTTCTTTTAAACTCGATTTAAACATTTTTTATTGTATGTATCTTTTAAATGACTCCGTGGCGCAGTTGCCAAGATGTTGGTTTCGGTGTCAGAGATTGGGCGTTCGATCTCAACTTGAGACAACTATTTGTGTGACCAACACATAGTTTCTGATCCGGGTGTTTGTCCACGTGAAATTTATGTATGAAAAAACATCCTTGTAACACAGGATAACCTTATACTACAGTAAGGGAAGATTACCACAGACCTTTCTAGATCGCAGCGGTCGTAGAGATAGAGAGTTGCTACCCGACCTCTTCCACGCAAAATTGCAAACAATCAATGCAGGATTTTAAGTCAACACGTAAAGAAACTATTAAAATTCATAATAGAGAGTAATAACTCTCCATCATGTGTTTTAATGCAAGTGTTTACTTGGATTGCGTTCGACAGATATACCAGTTTCAATGTGGCGGCTGCTGAAGAATCCCGTCTACGTGGTGACCTGCCTCGGCGCCTGCATGGAGCTCATGATCGTGTCGGGCTTCGTCGTGTTCCTCCCCAAATACTTGGAGACTCAGTTCAGCCTCGGCAAGAGTCAGGCTAGCGTCTTCACAGGTAAATAGACCAGTGAATAACGGCGTCAATAAATACTTTGCATCGATTATCGAAGGCGTATTTCAGTACGGACGGTTTAGTGCATAATAGACCACAGCGGTATGACGCATTCGTATTTTGTTTTCTCGATGGTTTCAATATTTAAATGCTATTTTGTTTTTGTACCGACAGTACGAGGTTTTGGACTCGGTTCGAACGACAACAGTCAATTCATAAGCGAGTCTTCGGACACTAGTCTACTGTAACCTTCAAAAATTAAGCTTGCAAAAATTATGCCGGTTTCAATATTTCGTCTATGGGTAGATTGGGTTACTGACGGTATATTTCTGACGTTAGTATTACGGAGCTAACGTGAAATACCTATCCCTAGTAACCAAATCTACAGATAGATAGAATTTCGAAACCAGGCGATAGTCAATCCTAGTCATAGTTTAAAAGTCGAAACTTATTTCAGTACCAAATAATAGTTCAAACATTCGTTTGTAAGTAAATATTAATGGCTGTGGTCTTCTTTGTGCATGCGAATATTTTAACTCCTAACATATTTGTTCGTGTCCTTAAATCGATACTTTGAGTGAATTATGTATATGTTGTCTAACTGTAAAAATATTAAAGTTCACCATGTCGTGGAAAAGCGAGGAAACTAATTTATTCCACCAATAAATTAGGGTAGCCATGAAGTGTATGTGAGCGCCCTGATTGCGGGTTTTTATATTACACACAGTGTATAATCATTGTGTTATAGGCATTGGTAACTAAACCACAGAGTAACTACGCAGCTACGAAATCTGTAAGTAACGAATAAAGATTTTAATATTGCTATTTATTTATTTGAACACAATTAAATTGTTTTCTTTCAACTCTACAACCTTGGACCGTATGAAGGAAAATCTTTTTAATTGAACCCGTATACTTACGCGTACTTGAACCATAATCTTCTTATGTAGACTGTTTACGTGCTTCAAACTTATGTTAACACACTTAAAGTTATTATTAAAAGTTTAAAAATGCATTTCGTATATATATTATTTTATTTTTAATGAACCAAATCTTTTTGGTAGTGAAAAAAGAAGAGCATATAAATATTTTGTCCGTTTGTCTAGTGGCCAAGTGCAGTATTTACGAAATGTACTTTTGGTAATTTCTTAATAAGGAAAATCCCTATTTAAACTCGATCCGCTTGAGGAATTCTAATAACAACAAATTTTGATACCCACAGACTGCCTGGCCCAAATACATATATAAATAAATATATAATATATGTAAATATTGAGCCGTGACAGCTCAGTGTCCGGGCGCTCGCCTTTAGTAATATACTCGAACAGCCTGAGTTCGATCCCTGGTGCCGGCACCCATGAAATTGTTAATTTTAAGAGCTGACTTATCACGTACTCAGCGGTGAAGGAAAACATACCAGCATATTTTCGAAATAATAACACAAATATTTTAAAGATATTTGTAGTCCGCCAATGGGGCCTGACTATGCCCTAATACCCTCGTACTCCACTGTACAGAAAAGGAGTTTGCACATCAGTGGGATGTGTATAGGCCTTTACTTTAATTTATGTATACATTTTGGAGCTGGTAATCGCGGGTTTCTTTACTCATTCTCCTTGCGTTTACGTTCGCGTCGCAGGCTCGATAGCGATCCCGGGTGCGTGCATCGGCATTTTCATGGGCGGATGCCTCCTCAAGCGTCTGGAGCTGCGGCCCAAGGGAGCGGTGCAGTTCGTCCTGATATCGAACACGATCTGCCTCTCGTGCTACGCCCTCCTGTTCTTCCTCGGCTGCGACAACATCAAGATGGCCGGCACCACCATACCGTATACCAACAACAGGTAACCCGACAGTTTTACTCCGAACTGACCACACTACTAAACATAACGGTGTCATAAGGCGCCATTAATAGATAGTAAGTACCTAGTAATATTGATACACTACAAAATGTAATGAAACAATCAAGAATGAACCAGAAAGAGGTTTTGATGGACGGAAATCAAATACTCTAAAAACCGCGAAATTTTTGCTGAAGTGTAAAATGTAAAAATATTTTTGATAAATACTTAAAATACATAAGTTCTAAATTAATACAATGCTAAAATTTCAGAAGCCCAATCAACTTCGCGACTTCATAAAATTTTTGAGGTCTTAATGACCTTAAAAATCTCAACCCTTTTTATGAAAAACACCCAAACTTAAATTTTCATGTTCAATGAAAAATATTACTTTTAATACCAACTAAGGCTCGTTACGTGATAGTAGTACCGAATATTTTTAACACTATATTACAACATAACGCTATGTTGCGAAATATATTTGATATAAATGATAGAAAGATACATAATAGAACACGTTATCGTGTATACTTAAGGTTTTAAACACTGCTCTAGTACCCTCAAACTCTTATCTAGTTTTTTATCAGGAACTGGCCAGTGAGTACCCTTTATCTTTATGGAATAATGTTTTCGCTTTTAGCCCCAGGGACTAAGTAAGATCAGCGATAGCGCTCTAACATTTCAACACGTGAAAGCTTAGTGAAACAAAAAGTAATATCGTTGATACTTTTGATATTTTCACTTGGAGAGCTGAGTGTGTGCGGGCCCTTAGTCTTTAGACGTCCGTTGTAGGGATGTAACAAATGCTCTTCACACCGGAAACGAGCAATCACCTTGTGGCCATTATTACTTGACTGCTCTGGATAATTCTAAAAATTAAAGGCATAAGTTTCACTTACCGTAAATTGACGAAGATACAAGTGCCACTTAGATCTTTGCGTTGATTGTGGTGTTTATGACGTGTAGACGCGAACTACCGGCTAGAAATTCTTAGGTCATAGAATTCACATTAAACTTGTTCTTGCGGAGACAGTAAATTATACTGATAAGACAGCATCAGCATTTGCTTGAAAAATAGAAGATAATTAATAATAATTTTAATTTGAAATGAAAAAAAACTTACCTACAAAGAGTTTTTTTTTTATGAGAAATGTTGCCAAACGAGCAGGCGGTTCATCTGATATTAAGTGAACCGCCACCCATGGATATCTGTTACACCCGAGGGTAGCAGATGAGTTGATAAACTTGAATTGTGCTCCGACTACCTCACTCACCAGTCGAAACATGAAAGTATTATACTTCCACTTCATACTTACCCGGTCGAGCGTGCCCGTTCGTACATCAGCCGAGGCTGCTGCGTGGCCCTACAACAGTACATAATAAAAATAAAAAAACTCGTGCAAACCAAAGAGAACTTAACCGTTCACATGGCCGCGATAAACCGCCCGCAGCAACCTGGAGCCGTTCAAAGTGAACCTGACGGCGGCGTGCAACTTCAACTGCCTGTGCACCGAGACGGACATGGAGCCGGTGTGCGGCAACAACGGCCTCACTTACTTCTCGCCGTGCCACGCCGGCTGCGCGGCGTTCTCCTCGCGCTCCAACTTCACCAACTGCGCGTGTGAGCCACGACCCCAGCGGACACTAATTTTCATATGTCACTCTTACTTTATTTGTTTACTAACTACTGCCCGCGACCACGTCTACATAGAATAGGCTTAAGGCGTAACATTCAATCAGAAAGACGGATACATAATATATGTATATAAATTATAGCCCATGCCTTATTCCGATGTATAAGCTATATTATTGTAAAGTTTCATTAAAATCCATTCAGTAGTATTTGCGTGGAAGGGTAACAAACATCCATCCGTATGTTAGGTACACATGTTTATTATATATTAGCAATAAGATTATAGTATTAGAGACGCCTGTGCGAAAACTATGTGCGCGTGTGCAGGCGTGCACGAGAACAGCCGCGAGTCGGCGCGCGCGGGCCCGCTGCTGGGCGGCGCGTCCGCGTCCGCGCTCACGGCCCAGTTCGGCGACGTGACGGTGGTGCCGGTGGCGACGGCGGGCGCCTGCAACCCGCCCTGCACCACCATCTTCCCCTTCCTCGTGCTGCTCTTCTTCATGACCTTCGTGGTGGCCGTCACGCAGATGCCGCTGCTCATGATCGTGCTCAGGTACAGTCACCCCCCACCCCACACCCACACACACACACACACACACAAAGCAAACCCTTCCCTCCGCCTTTTTTTTAGTCTCATCGCCCCAGCCGATGCAACTTATAATGAAAAGCGACGGACTGATATGTTTTCTTCGTAGTGTAACAGTCAGTCCAGAACACCTCTAAGTTAGTGACTAATCTACTAAGCTTCTAATGCATAGATCGGAATAGATAAATTATTAAAAAATGACGGTGGCCAGTGGCTAGCTAATAACTTTTTGGACAAAAAAAAGTCTCAGATGGGCAAAGCACTTGACAGACTGCCCATGGCCATGGATTTCTAACCCGTAAAATTAATTTATTTTACAAAGTGTAGTATTCGCGCGTGAAATCAAAAAATCATCACAATGATAAAGCTGTCATTCAAATCTATTTGTCCAAGGCTACCTTACTGTTTTATTTATGGTCTCGACGATGGCATCCAATTAATTCCACTCGTAGCCTGCTTAAAACCACTTTGACAAGAGCAAGATTTTCTTTAACAAAATAGATTTTAAAATGCACTCCCGATGGTCCGTGTATACAGAGCTTTAGAGAGTTAATGCGTACATTTTTTTTAAAACATTGCCCTTATATTAAGATAACATTATCCTGTGTTGTAAGGGCGTTTTACAAAAATAAACTTCACGCGGACAAACACCCAGATGCGAAACAACTATCTGTGGTCACACAAATAGTTGTCCCGTGTGGGAATCAAACCCACGACCCCAACGCCGAAGCCAATACCTTGACAACTGCGCCACGGAGTCATCAGATTATATTCCACGGATACTAGCTGTCACTTTTTATGACATCGGCCTTGTAGAGTAGATAGGACCCCGTGCAAAATCGCGCATTACGCACACATAAACGCACACTTTTATATCAAGTGGACTGCAGACAGACAGATTGAAGTCCGTCAAAGTGATGTACAGATTCCATCTGAATGTCCGCTGAATCAAATCAAATACGTTTATTCAATATAGAAGCATTACACTTGCTTATTGATTGTCAAGACGCTACCACCGGTTCGGAAAGCACAGCCATTGATCTGAGCCGGAAATCTCTGTTTGCGTTCGCAGGTCCGTCAGCGAGGAGGAGCGCTCGTTCGCGCTGGGCATGCAGTTCGTGATATTCCGCCTGTTCGGCTACATACCGGCGCCCATAGTGTTCGGCAACCTCATCGACTCCACGTGCATCCTGTGGAAGCAGTCGTGCGGCGGCGAGAAGGGCGGCCGCTGCCTGCTCTACGACATCGAGCAGTTCCGCTATAGGTACTTAGGACATTCTATGTGGTTTCTTTTTTGTGAAAAGTTTCCTTTTTTTTCTACAATTTTTTTTAAATACAGTAATTTTAAAATAAGTAAGTCAAATTTGTCACTTTTTATATATTTTTTTATATATGTTATATATTTATATTTGTAATATTATTTTTAATACTTGTTATATTTGTAATATTTTGTAATATTTTCGCAGGTATGTCGGCTTGTGCGGAGGCATCAAGATCGTGGCGCTCGGTATATTCCTCGCGGACTGGTGGCTGGTCCGGAGACGCAGGCACTTGGAGACCACCGCGCCCTTAGACCCGCAGAAGGATATAGCGAGCTCAATCATCAGCCTAGACAAATGTGAGTATTAAGGCCCATTTACACGATCTAGAGTCTAGACAAATGTGAGTATTATTCTTTTATCTTCACGTGCGAAAACATGTGCCACTTTTAAAAACTGACATTAACATCTTTTTATCATCTATTTCCATGATGTTTTGTTTTAATGTGGATTAAATGGCAACACAGTACATAAAATTGACATTATTTAACTATATTATTTATGCTGTAAGGTTTAAAGTTACTTTGTTACAGTGAAACAAAAAAAAAGCTTTAATACTAAGCTTTACTATTAGTAAGAAGTAATCACATGTTGTCGATCAAACATGGCAAACCATAAGCATCTACTCCATAGAAATCATCAAAGATAATTTCAATTACAGTTGATCATCCTAGAGCCGTGATTGCTTACTGTCCGGGTGCTTGCTTTTAATTCAATATACTTGAGCAAAGCAAGGGCTAATGTGAAAAGTTGTCAAGGAGTAGGCGTTTCATTATATTGAGTGATTATGGCTAACCATGGACATCTGCAACACCCGAGGGCCTGCCTGAGCAGACGAAACGCGAAAGTACAATAACACTTGCACGTCACCCTGGTCTTCTACAACGACGCGCCTGTCCATTCGAACCACTCCTACCGCGGTCACCATCACTTTCACACCGACTTATCGGCGAACACGCTCGTGCGCGCAGTGTTCGAGGAGCTGCCGTCCGCGGAGAACGCGAGCGGGCTCCGCTCGGCGGTGGCGTCCGGCGGGAGCACTCCCCTGGAGGCGGTCGCGCCGCGGCGGCTGCAGCGCACCGACTCGCAGCACTCGCAGGAGTCGACCACCCAGCGGGCGACACGCAACTCGCGCGTGCTGGTCGCGTCGCGGCACCTGCGCAGCGACTCGAAGACCATCCAGCTGGAGCCACGCGCGCGCCAGCACTCGGCCGACGAGCCGAGGGGCGGCGCCTTTCCGCGCTCCGTGTCGCGCGACCTCGCCCACTCGCACTCGCGCAACAACTCGCGCGACCTCGGCCTCGAGCAGCTGCGCCAGCTCGCCATCAAGAGCATGGAGAGCCTAGACCTGGGCGCGCTGCCGCTCGCCAGGTGCGCCGACGAGGAGAGCAAGCGGCTCATCGACGGCGGCGGCGTGCTGCGCCACAGGCGGACCGGCTCCAAGGACCTCAAGCCGCCCGACACACGGCACAAGCGCACCTCCTCCCACCACATCACGATGGAGCCGAACGAGCTCAGCCTGCAGATGCAGAAGGGCCGCAGCGTCGACCAGCTCGCGAGCGCGCCGCTCGACCCCCGCGTGTGAGAGCGCGCCTGGGCCATGGCCCTGTGCACGCAGCGATATGCCCATGCCGCCATGACTCAGTGACACCAAGTCTCGCGGCGGTGCAGTGATGCTATTCCGTGTTGACATTAATAGTGGAAAACTAAGCTTCGATCACGTTCGAGTGAGACTGAACCTCATAGTGAAATTATAAAAAAAAATAGTTTGCAGTGCTACTATGCATAGAATGTTCTGCACTGTGCAGTATGGTGGATAGAAGAAATAATTTATGCTTAATTTGTTACATATGTTATTGTAGCTCAACACTTTTTCAATGCACATGAAAATTATTAGTAATTCTTAGATTTCTGTAAATTAGTTCCTCTATTACACCATTACTTCTATAAGATTGCTAGTGATTCTAAATCATATCCTAAAATAGGCTACTGTACTGCTTATATGAATTGAAAAATTTGGCTTACTACAATTTTAGAATAGTGGAATATAATTTTATTAACTGAACTTGAAATGTAGCATAGTTTCTTTACTCCATCGTAACCTTTAAATGATGAGAGACCGTTTAAAACTTTTAAATATGTTCGAATCCTTTGTATCACATTTTTTGTAGTATTTCTGCCTTTAATCTAAATGCTTCTAAATTTAAATATAAATTGAATAGTATTGAATCTCCAAACATTAGCGTAAAAGTGTTCCCATTAACAAATTGTACTTAATTGACCAGTATCACACATATGTCATAGTGTTAAAAACCAATTGACAAAAATAGAAATAATTTTAATAAGAAAATATGGCTCTACATTCACTCACCATTATAAAATTAATCACAGAATCAGATAAGAAGGGATATATGACATAATTTTTTACGTTTAAAACAGGAGTCTTGAAAATTATCAATTTCTTATATTCAATGCTAAAATTTACAGTGAGGCTGTAAATATTTATGAAGTATTAAACTCATGATTTGCCTTTCATTTAATGTTTCATATTACTTAACAATTTCATATAGTAACTGTTTATAACATGTATGAACATAATAAAGTTTTAGCAAAGATATTTTTAATCAATACTTTTTGTTATTTTAACAAAATAATTATGTTTATGAAAATCGGTAACGAACATTCCTAAACAAATATTTTAGTAATCCTTTTCCTCATAAGTTATATGTAATTCTACTTTTAAAATGCATGAGATTCAAAGAAATCACAATTTTTTACCCCTTATAAATTTTAAATCATGTATTGATTTTTGTTACTGTTTAGGAACACTTTCCTTTTAAATGACTAATTCACATAATTAAGCTTTTTAAAGCAACAAACTTTTAAGTAAACACTATTTATTACCATCTGAAATTATTAAGATAAATACTGCGTTTTTATCTCTCACTTTTACACAATTTTTTACATGCATATTTGTAAAAACAAAAATATTAATGTTATTAAGTCAAGAATGAAATGTTTAAAATTTGCCAATACTAAGTTAATGTAAAATGTTCATTTCATATATAATAAGGTAAAATATTATTATTTGATGGACAGATTGAACAAACTGAAAGTAGGTGAATTTTTGTTTAAATTATTTGTGTTTAACATTTAAACTAAAACCTGATCATATAAAGTAGCTAAGCATTAACTGAAAATGGATAGGAAATTGCACTTTTGATGAATTTTAATAATAAGACTTAATCTGTATATATACATCCCGCGCAAAACTTAATGGCATATGAGAAGTGAGCTGCAAATGCAACTGTGCATGACATCAGGTACAGTCAATTTGGCAATTGTAGAGCATGTCACATATATTTTATAGACTTATATTTGTTTAGCAAGAATTATAAAATTTGACCTAGACAAATTTTTATTAAAATAATATTACTATTTAGTTTTATAAACAAAAAATGACCAACAACAATAACTACTCGGAGTAAGACTGTACTTGAGCAGTATGTGGTGAAAGTGCACAGCATATGATTTGCGCTCGTAACTTTATAGCTGCCATTAAGTTTGGAGTGACCTGTACGTGGAAATGAAAGTAAACAGATGCATGATAGTTATAATTTATTAACTGGCTTTTTAATAGATTTTCATAACAGTATCATGAACCTAAATCAAAATGTACACTAAATTAACAGTTCACGATTAATTATTGTTGCCTAAGACCTAAAATTGTTTAGCAAAGGTATTTCAAATGGATCAGGCATTTTCTGCCTGATGTTTTTTTCTCATTTATGTATTGGCTTACTAGTCTGTTGCTGGTGTGGTAGGTGTTAAAATGCAAATTAATTGACATGAAAAATTGATTCATAGAAATGGGTAAGTTTACTAAAACTGGGTATAATAGTTTAATTGAGACAGATTTAGGTTTTCAAAGAATAATAACAATCCATGTTACTGAATAAAACTGTGATTGTTGCTATTTGCTGCTGTGTATCTGTAATGATCTCAAATGGTGAGAATAGGGCATTGTTATAAATGTTTTGTGTGAAAATTTTCAAAAGCAATATGAATGACTTAATGACATTTTTTATAAAATATTGTATCTTGTACATGAGCAGCAGTTCGTAATTTATAAATTTTGTTGTAAATCAAAACATAGGGTCAGCTTTATTAACATAAAGCTTTGAAAGGTCATTGAATTGCAAGATTTGGTGCTTTATATTAATAATAAAATCATATCAGTCACATTTCAATAATGATATGAAAAAAAACCATTAGATTCTATCATTCAATATGAAAAAATATAATATGGCCACATTTCTTCATTGTATAACTAATATCATTTTGATAATTTCTAACTTGCTCTTTTAAATTTTTGTTATTCTTTTTTACACTAATATATTTAGGACAAATGTGAAATTCCTTTGTTTTGCAGAATATAGTGAAAATATTTATCTAAGATTTTAAAATGTAACATTAATAAAATAGTTATTTCTTTTAATATCTTATTGTCAAAATGTCAATTTGTGGGCTGCTGTTTAAAATTAAGAACTCAATTACTATTACAGTAGAAATATTTTTTTAGAATGGATGTAATATTTTAATGCAATATATTTATCTCAAAATTAAAGATGAGTAAAACATCAATTTGAATTGTCATATATTTGTTAAGAGAGAAATAGTTTGATATGAAGAGTGTTTTATCTAAAAAAAAATGCCTTATTACAATAGGTCTTAAGACTTGATACTGACTTAGCTGTATTTGTTGTTGTCGATCATTAATTAAGTGGTGTTGTGATAACAACTCCCTATACTAATTTGTTGCATTTAGTGAATAATAAAATTGCATACTTATTTTATACAGTATTTTATTCCAAAATTTACCTTTAATTTATAAAATTATTCTGCATTAATGCTGCTGGGCTTTAAAATTTCCACAGTTTTATCCATTTCACCTTTTAAAAATAAAATAAACATTAATAAAAACAAAATAAAACTACATAGGTTTATAAAATTTACAATGATCTCTCTTTATACTTATCTATTATACATTGTTTACTTGACAACATAACTACAATTGCACCACAAACTACATTTATTTTACCAAAGTTCAATCTAACTCACCACACTCTGCAATAATAACTTTCTTTGATGGTGTTCCATTTTTAGAACCCAAATTTTCCATTTTTTTAACAACATCCATACCATCTACTACTGACCCAAAAACAACATGCTTTCTATCCAACCAAGGTGTGGCAACAGTTGTAATGAAGAACTGGGAACCATTTGTATGAGGTCCAGCATTAGCCATCGATAAGATGCCAGGACCAGTGTGCCTTAATTTAAAGTTTTCATCCATGAAAGTACGACCATAAATAGACTTTCCACCAGTGCCATTATGGTTAGTAAAATCACCACCTTGACACATAAAGTTCGGAATTATCCTGTGAAATGAAGAACCTTTATATCCAAATCCTTTTTCACCAGTACATAATGCTCTAAAATTCTCAGCTGTCTTAGGAACTTCATCGGTATTAAGTTTCATAACAATACGTCCAAGTGGCTCCCCATCAGCAGTCACGTCGAAGTAAACTCTTTTTTCTTGCTGGGTTGAAGCAAAACGTAGTGCAGCAGCGGAATAAAGCGTCCCATTTATAAGGGTTCGGCGTAATATTGTAGTGATCGCCATTGATGTTAAGCTGTAGTTCAAAATTAAACGTTATGAAGTGTATAAACAAAAACAATAAATTCATAACTTAAGAGAATAATTTTTTTAATCATTAAAACTAACCTTATCACACAACGGATTCACCGCTTTTCCGCTAGCCAAAATTGTAATGGAATTTAAGTTATAAAGAACTTACGATGTTTTGCCAATTTCTAATTTGAAAAAAAGAGAACCAATTCAAATCTCCAAATCAAAATAGATAGAAATGAATCAGACCAACCAATTTATTGAATGAGGAGTGAGGTTATTATTATGGATAGGGACTAGGGTTAGGGATGCCGAAAAAATATCGATATATCCAGTTTTTTTTTTAAATATATCGATATTTTTGACTGATATATTTTGAGGCGATATATCGATATAAAAAATTGAATATCGAAATTGTATCAAAAACGATATTTTTATACAAACATTCAAGGCTTTGAATAAAAGATAAAAATGAACGGAAAAAAACTGTGGTCTGCTAGAATTGTCGCAGATGCGGAGTTGCATTTTGTACTATAATTATGGTATTTATGCTACAATTTGATGCTTCGTACTTTATACTATCCATATCTTAGGAACAACATGGATTTGTTAAAAATAATGAATATTGAACTACATATTACATTAATTTATAAATGGCATGCAAAGTATTAATGGCATCCACAAAAGTTACTTTAACTTAATATGTAAATAAAATTTAATTATAATCAAAATCTCAATAATTAAATTTCACATACTATAATATCGAGTTTTAATAAAAAAAATATTTGTCGTCATAAAAATTAGTATCACTTGACCACATAAGTTACTTTTTTAAACTGTCGTTCAATATTTTCATGTCAATCAAACGACTATTACTAAATTCTGTTGATCAAGATTTGTCTTATAGGACAAGTCTCTGCGGGTTTCTTTTTGACCAATTACTCTTTATGTTTTTTTTGCAATGTTACATGTTATTTTACAAGTTATTTTTTCATTTCATTTAGGGCAAACATTGATTCATCTTACTAAATAAGCTGTTTGTATTTTTCCAATGAAGGTCTTAATTAATAATATACATAGAAATTTAGATAAATAAAAGAAATTTGATTAAAGTTAATAAATAATTAACATTTTATTAAAATTTCTCTAACTAAATACATTATCTTTTTAAAAACGAAAATTTGACCGATTTATCGTCATATCGATGTTTTTTTCGAAACATCGAGGCCGATATTGATATTTTTATAATTATCGATATATCGATATAAGATAATTTTTTCGACTTTCAGCATCCCTTGTTAATAAAATTAAAATTATGGTATAATATATTAATCAGCTGTCAAATTGGTTTTCAAATGGTATTTAAGTTGCTAAAAGTCTTTGAATTGAACATTCTGATCATTAAGAAGATCACTGTGATCATTTCAGAAAGTTTAATCATCCTTTTGGCAAATCAAATAACATTTGAAAAGGCATTTGACAGCTGATTAGTTGACATCTGCTAGGCATGGGCAAAATATATCGATATATAAAAATATCGATATCGTCTAACGTTACTTGCCAATAATCATAAAAAAATATTAACGTTAAACAAAATCCATAATTAAAAAAAATATTTTTCAAACAAACTAATTAAGTAAAAAAGAAACAAAATTTATAACATCCTATAGAACTCGCGCCACATTACAAGCCTCTCCTTCTAACAGTATGTGTTGTCTCTTGTAAATTCATTCAACCCATTCATATGCTTTGTGACCTTTACAAATGAACTTTACGTTACAAATTTATACGTATGGGTGTTCTAAAATCCAAGTTCATAAATCAAGGACCAGCATTATTTAGTTTGGGAATTCATCCAATTATTTCAAAATTGAAATCTAAACTTAATGTCTGGTACCTAGACGATGGTACATTGGGAGGTATAGTTGACGATGTACAAAGTGATCTTATCGAAATAATTAGACAATTTAAAAATATCGGCCTCGAATTAAACAATTCTAAATGGGAACTTTGATTTTCCGAAAAGATATATTTTTCCGACAAAATTTTTACGACCAAAATTTTATCTCTATCATACTAGGAATTAACGTAATCGGTTCTGATTCATTTTACCTCTTAGGTTTTTTTCTTATTTGAAATGTTGCCAAACGATCAGAAGGTTCACCTGATGGTAAGTGAATACCCCCGCCCATGGACATCTGCTACACTCGAGGGTTACAGATGCGTTGACAACTTTTTAAAAATTGGGCTCCGGCTACCTCACTCACGAGACAAAACGCGAAAGTATTTGTCATACTACCACTTTACGCTTGTCTTCTGTGTGGTCGTGGTACTTACCCGGACGGGCTCATTCGTGCAACAGCCGAGGCTCTTGCGTGGCCCTACCACCGTATAAAGGTGCTCCTTTTTTTAATACCAAGTTTAGAACCTGTTTTAAAATTAAAGTTAAATTAATTTTTAGATCATGTAAACAAATTCTTTTCACTAAATTCGCATATTGCGCTTACTAATAGACATAATATAGCACAGCGGATAGCGACATTGTATTAGTCCGGTTTGAAAATGCGGTGACTTTTTGAACGAAATTGATTTCCAACTTAAATAAGATCTAGAAAAATTCTAAATTTATTTACTTAATGAATTAAGCTGGACTCAAGCTACGTTACCCATTCGGTTTGGTGGTATTGATGTAAGGAAAATTCCTAGTGTCACTCTACCTGCCTTCCTTGCTTCCGTGCATAGCGTAAATAATTTATGTAATAATATCCTTTATCACAATTCCAAATTTTCCTATGCCGAGGAGGTAAGGATGTCTTCTGCTGCCTATCTGCTCCAAAGAAATTTTCCACTGGAAGTATACCTCCAAAAATAGTGGAATGTTCCTTGGGTGCAGAGAGTACAGAAAGAAAGTTCAATCTTTAGAAAGTAATTTAGAGCGTGCCCGTTTCCTAGGCGTCTTATCTTCGAGATGAAGATATTCTCAAATCGAGTTATTGGCTTCACGCTTTACCATCAAGTAACTTGGACACATTTCTTGACGATGAAAACTTACGCATTGCTGTAGGAATCTGTCTGGGCCACCAATGAGTCAACCACACCAATGCCCACGTGATGTCAATGTAGATAAATTTGGTCCCCACGGGCTTTCTTGTCAAAAAAGTGCTGGCCGCTTTTCCCGCTACGGTTCCCTGAATCGACACCGTAGGCTTCTTGTTTACATCTATTTCTGTGTGTGTGTAAATAATTTTTATAGTTTTCTGTTGGACTGCTTGAAAGTTAATTATTCGTATATTACAGCTAATTTTGGATCGCAATTGTGAACAAAGTTGTAAGTACGTGTTATAGACAATTTATTACAAGTTTACTTCAAGATTTGTGCGAGAAAGCCTAGCTTTATAAACATTTAAATTTCCGAGACCGTTACAATAAAGTTTAAAAGTATAGATCTTAGCAACGCCATCTAGCGATAAATATTTTTACTAGTTCGATCAATTTGATAGCTCTCTATATCAAGGGGCGATTATACTCAATTGAGTTAATACAGAGGTCAGAAGATGGCGCCACCAGTGGTAAACAAAATCTTTTGCAATGGATGTTCGCAGGAGATCTCTGATAGACAATTTCTGAAATGTCACATTTGCCGCAAGTATTATGACCTTCTGTGTACAAACATATCAGAAAAGCGGTTCTATAGTATAATGTCAATCGAAAGCAAAAAAAATTGGAAATGTGAGGAATGTAAAGGTAAAGAACCTAAAAGTGATAACACCAATACGGCCATCAAACACGATCTACAGTAGTCTCCCGAAAACAAAAAGGATTAATCCAGCCGCACACATGTAACGTCACGTCGTCTGCAGGAAAAACATAAAACTGCGGCCATGCCTCTACCTGTTTCCACTGTATCCGATATGCAGACAAATGAACTAGCAAATGAATTTAAGTTATTACGCCAAGAGATAGAAGGAATGCGCAACGATATGCTGGAGTTCAAAGGCACCATGGCAAATCTTCTTGTAGCTATTAACTCTTGTAATCAACGACTCGACAGCCTTGAGGCCCGAATAGAGGTGTTGGAGATAAAGCCTGAAGCTAAACCCTCGGAGGATGTATCTCTTCTTCAGTCTACGATCTCGGATCTTAAAATGGAGCTCAACGACCGAGACCAGGATCTGTTGTGCAACGATATCGAGATCGCTGGAATACCTGAGGAAAGAAATGAGCCTTCTTTACACTTAGTGTTGGCGGTGGCGTCTAAATTAGGCGTGAATCTAGAAGACCGCGATATCGTCAGTGCAGAGCGTGCGGGTCCCGTACGTCGCGAGCATATTGACAGTCCCCGACCACGGCCCATTGTGGTACGTCTGGCACGTCGTGCTCACCGTGATAGTATACTGGCGGCGGCTCGAGTTCGAAGAGGTACAATCACCGCCGGCTTGGGCCTTACTAATTCTACCGTCTGTCCGTTATACATTAATGAAAGGCTGACTAGGTATAACAGACAGTTATTTTACAAGGCGCGTATAGAAGCGAAAAATAAAAATTGGAAGCACGTGTGGACACGAAAAGGGAAGGTTTTTGCCCGAAGAAACGACGGCGAGGCACGCCATCGCTTGCGTTCCGAGAGCGACTTGACTAAAGTTTTTGGGCATTGAAAATGTTTGCTCATAACAATAAGCCTAATCTCTTCCTTCATACGAATTATTATAAAGTGCAGGTTTGTCAAAAACGAATGTATTTAAACAATTGCCACTCAATTATTCTTAGTTTTTTACTTAATAGTGCTTTTATCTCTTTTCTATGGACGAACTTTCTCTCATTTGAATGTGTTATCTTGCTCAAGGCTTATAATTTCCTAATTTTCATTATTAGCATAACTCACCCTAGTCGTTGTGTATCCCTAGTTTTTAAATTATTTTTGCTATTATTGTTTTCTTTGTTTTATTATTTGGTTTGTTATTGTTCTTTGTTATTTATTTTTGCGTTAAAATTAACCTCAAATGTGATCATTGTTACTTGCGATATAGATTTTTTATACGTTTTTATGGTTATATGGTTGCTTCCATGCTTGTTCATGCTCATACTGTACAGAAATACTTTTGTTATCTACACACAACACATTGCACACTTCACATATACATTACAAGAACACACTATAACACAGTACAACACAGGTACACGCAGTTTACAAGAATTAAACCTAGTAATAAATATTTAATTTACTCTCTGGATAGGCGACATGCAACACTTTTGTGCGATTTTATAATTAACTGTAAGTATTGCGAAATTACGTATGCTTTTATTTTCAAATTCATAAAAAATAAAAAGTTTTCGGTTGGGCTTTTGAATGCCGGGTCTTTGGGAACCCATCATGATGAGTTTGTTGCGGCAACATCAAGGTTCGACATGGATATAATAGCTATAAACGAAACATGGCTAAAACAGGGGGAGGAGGGACGCGCACCGTTGCCGCAAGGATACCGCTTACTTCACTTACCACGTTCGTCCAAAGTGCGTCTGCGCGGTGGAGGAGTAGGATTTTACGTTAGGCAGGGAATTAACGTGCGTAAAATTGTGCACCCTCCGAATCAGGATGTAGAGCAAATGTGGTTAAGTCTTAATTCCAATAGTATTAAGATAGCTATTGGTACAGCGTATCGACCCCCTTGGCTTAATGTTGATGCGTTTTTGGATGCACTTACAGAGTCAATCTCTTCTCTAGGTAGATACGAATATATCCTGCTGCTAGGCGATTTAAACATTAATATTTTGCTTACACAGGATCCAAATACACAAAGATTGTTTAATTTCTTGACATATATGAATCTTACACAGTTTGTAAAGCAACCGACGCATTTCACAGAACACAGTGAATCGCTGCTCGACGTAATTTGTTCGAATGTCAATGTGTTTAATGCCTCTGTAAATCATATCCCTGACCTTTCCCACCACGCTTTTTTAACTTGTCAGATAAATATTAGAAACCAGCGACCAGCCCCTAAATTCATTAGCTACAGACCTTTAAAGGATATGGATACGGACAATTTTAATCTAGACTTGAATTTAATAGAATGGGAAAGAGTAATTAACAGCGACGTCAACAACATGGTTGGTAATTTCAACAAAATAATACTTGATCTCTTTAATATACATGCGCCTGTACGGTCTTTTTTACTTAAAAAGAAGTCGTATCCTTGGATTACTCATACTGTTAAAGAAATGATGAAGTTTCGCGATAAAGCATACTTCCGAAGTAGAGTCACTAAATTGGACAAACATATAAATTACTATAAAGACTTAAAAAACCTCGTAAATTCGGCCATTCGCTGCTTATATGAACAAACACATAAATTCTGTAAAAAAAATCCTCAAGCTCTTTGGAAAAGCATCAAGTACAGCGTTGCAAATTTAAAAAAAAATGACTGTGATCTTCCAATCAATCTGTGTAACCCTGATGCAATAATAATTTTTTTCTTGACATTCCCGGTAATAATAATGACACCTTAAGTTTATCTATTTTAAGTCGTTATGAATTCGACCGATTTAATACAACTACTTTTAAACTGAATATTCTGGACGAAACGACGGTACTGAATATTATAAAATGTTTCAAAACTAATGCACAAGGTGATGATGGCATCACCTTGAATATGATATTACTTTCTTTGCCTAGGACTCTGACGGTAATTACCACAATAATCAACCAATCAATTACTACGAGCGTATTCCCTGAACAATGGAAGATTGCTGCAGTTTTACCGATTCCTAAAACACCGAATCCGGATGAATATAGAGATCTCCATCCAATAAGCATTCAGCCGTTTTTGTCAAAGATTTTGGAGCGAATTATCTGTACGCAAATGATAGAATATCTTGAAAAAAATCAAATTCTACCCGCTAAGCAATCCGGATTTAGAAGGTCTCGGAGTACTGCGACTGCCTTGTTGGACGTAGTGGATGATATTCTTACAGCACAGGACAGTCAACAAGGTACATTGCTAGTCTTGCTTGATTTTTCCCGGGCCTTTGATACCTTAAACACAACTTTGCTACTATCTAAACTCTCTTACTACGGTTTTGACAATTCTACAGTAAAATGGTTTGCTAGTTACCTTAATGATCGCATGCAATATGTTAAAATACGTAGAAACGTCGGCCCTGACCTGATATCTACTATGCGACCGGTTAATAGGGGCGTTCCACAGGGTTCAATTTTGGGACCAATACTTTTCATTTTATATATAGCTGACCTTATTAATGTCATTTAGCAGTGTCGTTATCATTTATATGCGGACGACGTGCAATTATACATGTCTTTTAAACCTAGTGACACAGCCGTAGCATTAAATTAAATCAACGCAGACTTGGAAAGTATTTCTAAGTGGTGTGATTGTAATAATCTTGTACTTAATCCAAATAAGTCTAAGTACATGGTTTTCGGATCACGTAAGCAAATAGATAGCATTCTATCTCAGAATCTGCGAATTTCTATTGGCGGATGTTCCTTAGTGCGTGTTATGGAAGCTCGTAATCTGGGACTTATAATGGATGAAAAGTTACGCTTCGAGAAACACATTCTAGAAACAATGCGCAATTGCTTTTATAGACTAAAAGTACTCTACCGTATTCGCGAATATTTGACGGTAGACATGCGTGTTAGGTTGTGTGAAACGCTTGTTTTGTCCAAATTGTCATATGTTGATACAGTTTTTAATGGTTGCTTATATGCTAGGACAAAAAAAATGATTCAACGTATCCAAAACGCATGTGCGCGTTTCTGTTTCCCTATCCCACGACGTGCTCACATCACTCCATATCTGAACCGGCACAACTTGATGAACATGGCCAACCGAAGAACCATACACCTTGCCACATTGCTTTTCGGGGTTATAAAGAAAGGTGAGCCGTGCTATTTATTTGAAAAGCTAAAATTCTCACAGCGCTGCATTAGGACGGCACCTAGACTAAATTACCCGCAGTACCGTACGGCTGTCTTTAGAGGCAGCTTTCGTTTTGCTGCCACAAAGTGCTGGAATGATCTCCCACCCCCAATAAGACTCATAAATTCCATTAAGTCATTTAAATTTAAACTAAAACAATTTTTACTCTCTAAACAGAAGTCCAGCACTTAAGACTTTCGTTCTTCACTAATACGAACAAAAACACACACTTTCTTGCTCCATCTCACACAACACAACAACAAAATCTTCTTCACACATAACACAAGCATGGCAGGTAAAATAAGTAATTTGTATTTGTTTTATAATAATTTTATTCTTTGTGTAACGTTTCTTACTTTTAGTCAAATGTTCTTGTTTTTTTAATTTATTGTATCCAATATTAATTCTTTACGACTATTACGTAGGGCCATCTATCTCTTTCCCCCAAGGTTCCACTGAAAACCAGCATTCACGAAGATTGTCAACTTCGTGATATGAAGCTGAGTGGTGACCATTTTGGTTCATTCTAATCATAGGTATTTAGTTTTTAGCATATGTTTTATTTTTTTGTGTTATTATGTACCAAATAAATGTTTCTTTCTTTCTTTCTATTTTAGATCTGCGTGAAATGCTGATAATTTTATCCTAAATATGAACGGATCAATTACTGGTCACAAAATCTTATAAATTTTTTGAAATAAACGAAGTGTAAAAACATGTGAAGAGTAACATATACCTTGCGGTTTGTTTAATTTTATATAAATTAGATACGAAACTAAGATTCGTTGAAACATAAATATAACAAAATTGATACAAATTCGATATTCTAAATTAAATATCGAATATCCATTTATTATTGATTAAAATTATCATTAATAACAAAAATCATCGAGATATCGATATTTTTAACTATTGTTTTGTTACATCTCTATTGTTATGTTATTGACATTTGAGGTTATTATAACAAATGTTGAATAAGTTTTTTTAAATATAAATACATATTATAATAATAACAATATAAATCAATGCTGTTGTTGTTAATGATAATATTGTCATATAAGTTACATTGTAAATTTAATAGAATATATAACAACGAAAATATTCACAATGCAGTGCATTAGATCCCTGATTTCAAATATCCGCCAATCGCATGTTCCTTCAAGGGTTTTAAATAATGTTATAAACAATAAAAAGGGAAAAATGTCGATTCAATTATATTCTTCGTTCGAAGATAACGACAGTGGTATGTTATGTATAATATAGCGGTAGCTACTGAAACAAATTACGTTTGTAATGTTGCAATTATTTTTGTTACCACAATTGAAATGAAATTTATCGTTTTTAACGTTTATAAATCCATATAGTTTATTACAATTTCCCTTCCACGTGATGGATTTCTCAATTATCTTAAAAGTGTATGTTTCATTTTTCAGCTATAATTAATGAATTATGCAAATGTAATCCAGATTTAGAGAAGAAGCTAAAAATTCTTATGTTAGAAGTTGAAGTGATGAGACAAGATGGTCGACAAGCTCCAAGCAATTTACAAAAAACGCATTGGGAACACTTAATGTCACTTTCAAGTAGAAACCAACGATCAAGTTATTTGTTTTATTTGTGGAAGACAGAAAAAGCTAAAGAAAATGAAAAAGTACTACAGTTAACATTCAATTAAATGCCAACAGTGGATATTCTTACAATATATATATATATATATATATATATATATTATGTTTCATGCCAAGTATTCTATGAAACTACAATAAAAGAATATGTACTTGTTATAATAAATAATTTTGGAAGCCTTTTAAATAGTAGATGTAACTAATTTAATGGATTTATGGCGTTTACTTTTAATGCCCGACAATTTAAAGCATGTACAGCGTTCATGATCACAGGACCATGAACACTGTAAAAGGTTCCAAAAATAAACACGATAAATCAGTAAACATAATATCATTTAGTAATGTGTAATTGCACAAATACAATAAATTATTCGCTTTTTCATTATTTGTAATAATGAAATGAACTTATGTTAATGTCATAATAAAAATTGTAAGTTAAATTGCAATACTTAAACATTACCTGCTTAATATTTACACAGGCAAGAAAAGTGGCTAAGAGACAAGAATATGAAGCATCAAAAGATCAGGAAGTAATCAAAGAATATCCTGATGATCTTTTATATGGAATTAAGCACCAATCTTTATTTTTGCGTATTCGTGACCAATCAATCAACAACTTTGATAACTATAGGTAAGATGTACAAAAGAATACACATTTATTTAATATTTTATCTTATAAATGGGAGGCACAATCAGAAATGGCATATTGTTTTTTTAAGGGCAATAAATTCATTGATCCATGGACAGCCAGTTGTCATAGACTGTTCTTATGAGGAACATATGGTATTGCGTGAGATCTTAAATGCTGCCAAGCAAATGACTTTTGTTTTTGGTGACAACAGAGTTCATAAGGAACCATTTAACATTCATTTGTGTAATGTGAATTTGGACGGACAATTTATGAAACAGCTTCGAAAAAATATACCATCATTAGAAGAGTCATGGTTTCCCCTTAACATTCACACAAAAAGTTATTTAGATATCTTTGAAAGAAAAAAACTGGTATATCTTACACCACATTGTCGAGAAGAATTAACAAGTTTTGATCATGATGCTATTTACATTATAGGATGTATGGTTGATAAGGTAATTATTGATTTAAAGACCAATTTACATTGAAGGGAACTATAAGTATTAAAGTCTGCTTATTTTTGTTTTAGATAAATAATGAACCTCTCTCTCTGGCCAAGGCTAAACGGGATGGAATTAAAATGGCGAAATTACCATTAGATCGATATTTGGAGTGGGCGCCAGGGGCAAAAAAAAATTTGAATATAAATCACATGGTCCCTATTCTTTTAGATTTGAAAGTGACAAGTGATTGGGAATTTGCATTACAACATATCCCTAGGAGAAAACTAATGGAAACTAAACTAATGGCTATGCAAAAAAGGATTAAAAACAGTCCATTGGCTCAAGAGAATGTGTTCAAAAATTTAAAAACATATAAACAAACAAACTTACTTGCATTCCGAGAAAAGCGGTTCAAATCAAAACAATCTTTGTATGATGATGATAATGTGTAAAAAAAAACGCAAATAATTTTTGTCTTTAATTCATGTTGTTACATTAAGTAATAAACATAATTATGTGTATAATATTTTGCAAAAAATTTTTTCCTAAACAATAAATGTTTAAAACCTACATTTGTACATTATCAAGTTAGTTCCCAACTTTACAAACAATCTAGGTCTGTACAAAATTATGAATTTTTATCATTTAATCTGAAGTGATAACTAGACTGTCCATAAGACTTTTTCACATGCATTTGCACATCTACCTATAATTGCACACAAGTACATGACAGTTGATAATATGCTTTGCATATTGAAGTAATCTAAATGTAATGTATCTCTATCCAATATACCTATAAAATAAGAACTAAAATAAAACCTTATATGCCGAAAATTACATACTAAATTTTAATATTATATACATGTTTTCATTGATACATACAAAAAATATATGCAATATTCAAGGTGTATCAACACAACCCATATTTCTTTTAAAGTTGTGTTAAATGTTCATTAATGATCTAAGATTATAATTCTGGACATACATTTCTATAGATATTAAATACACAAAAATTTGAATTTTTCTTGTGCGTTCATAAAATCCAATGTGTAGTAGCATAACTATAAATGCAAAAAAGAAAAAAACATTGTACTTATGTTGTAACTTAGTCAATTATTAATTAAACAAAATCTGTATTCTTTGCAGTTAGAATTATTGTGTAATATTGCATTTTTCAGCGGGATTCGTGTTAATACCCATGAAATAGTTTCCGTTTTCCATTTCTCAATGTTGGGTTGATACTATAGTGGGGGCGGTAGAGTGCGCATGTCAACGTCGGCCGAAGTTTCGCTTCGTTGTTTGATAGTAGCGAGGATCTCTTGTAGATTGGAGGGCAGCGCGATGTCGGCCAGCGGCACCACGTTCGGTGGGGTCATAGGACGCGATGGTGAATAGGCTTCGTCCTTAAACATCACACAGTAAATTTCAACTCTTCCTACCAATTGAAGCATTGATTAAAGTTTATAGGATGATTTTAATTGAATACACGATCAGATCTTTATCGTATCTATTCCTAGAATATCTTGATCGATATTACACTTACGAAGAGTTAACATTCTTAGCGACATCTTTTGCGCAATAAACTAGACCAGGGGTGAGCAACCATTTTAATCAATGGGCCAATTTAAATTTCAAATTTTTTTGGCGGGCCGCACATAATAATTTACGAAAATTTATTTATAATAAATATTAGTAATAATATTATAATATAATAATAATAAATATTATTATTATATTATAATAATAATAAAAAATATAAAATTAAAAAACAGTAAAGATATCATATACAAATTTTAATGCAAGATAAAAACAAACAAGAAAAGAACAGAAAAACGAACAAAAAATATTTCGGTTCAGTATGTACACCATTTTATTATAATTAATTTTATAACAATATATTGATGGGAGAAATTCGATAAAATAAATTCTATTTTAGAAATGCGGGCAATGGCGGGCCGCATAAACATGTTTAAGGGACCGCAAGCGGCCCGCGGTTCGTGCGTTGCTCATCCGTGAACTAGACCATTTAATGAAATAATTAAACACGGCGTTCCTCAGGGAAATGTGCTTTGACAGACATAATTTCCGATTTATATCGATAAATTATTTACAATATAATTAAAAAATACTCATGATATACAATATACATCGAAAAACTACCTCGCCACCAATGGAAGAATCCGCCTGTGCCATTTTGAGAATTTGCTGCTTTTGCTCCTCAATTTGTCTGTTTAGCTCCTCCATCTTGCAGCGCAGAGTACTAGAAGGAGGCGCGGAGCAGCTGCTCGTCGAGGAGCCTGGACTGTAAGCTTCGTCGTCCTCAGCTGATGCTGCAAATTAAATTAATGTTTGATAATTTTATATCAGCTTTACTTGGATGGGGACACCTGGGGATGTATCTGTTTGGGCGGTACAGCCGTCCATTCCAAGGCCATTATTATTGTAAGGAAAAGAAATATAATGGTTTGCTTACATTATTCAGATTCGTTCTATTCGCACATAATCTAAACGAATTAATGAAAACACAGAAGTGCTTTACAAACCTAAGGTAGCGGCAATTTTGTCCTTAACCGAAGTTGAGAGTGCAGGCGACGTGTAACTTGGCAGAGGTAAGGGCGCGCGACGTTTTGGCGAAGCGGGCGGCGTAAACGAACATTTGCCGCCAGCAGGAGGCGTGTACGATCGCTTGCGCGACTCCCGTACCACCTGCCAATTTATGTATGTTCAGATATAAATGACACAAAATTATTTCACAAATTCTATAATAATATCGACGTAAGAAAACATATGCGGTAACGGACTTAAAAGTGTAATAATAAACATGTCGATATTCTATAAAATGCGGAATAGTGTTATAAAACAATATCATTTAAAGTAACAAGGCCTTAAAAAGGAGAAAAGGTAGCAAATGTTTTTAAATTTATTATTAGAGGATTTAGAGCTTAGTACTTGTTTCTTTTAATATTCAAAGATTATGGGGCTTTGGTTAAAAATAACTTTTTTGTGGGCAGACATGTAAACAGTATATAGACGTAAGAACTTACGTATTTATACTTCGGCAAATTTTCAAGTATCAGGTATTGTGTGAAGTGATTGTGGTTTATGTACCAATTTAATTTGAGTGCTAGTTATTAGTGCGTGGAAATGGATGTAGAGGGAACCCTATGCGGAAGTATATGTCCCAGTTTAGTAATGTACCGAGGGAGGGCGGTGACAAAATTACTTTCAACTGAAGTGCGTTGTGTGCGAAATGTGGAAGGCCCAACGAGATTTACATTACAAGGATCATGAAAAGCGGAAATGCATAATACCTGACTTCATTGTTTAATTTTATTAAGAAGTATTGTAAGGCTTATTTTAATAATACATATATACATCATGATGCAATTTTCTACCAATCTCTTTAAGTACATAATAAAAAGCGATTAATGTTTTTCAGGTAATTCGCAAATCCTATAGATGATCCATCATTCATTTATATACAGTTGTTTAAGAATAAGAAATTCTAAGTATAAAAAAAATCAAGCGTATTTAAATTAAACTACATGGCTACTACAGCAAAACCTCTTTATTTATTGTCTTGCTCAAAGTATGTGGTTCTACACCAATACTAATGTTAAGGAATGTAATATTTACAACGTTATATTCATCATAGGTGGAAATTATATTAAAAGAAAAAATGGTTTAATGACTTGAGGATAAGGATTTAAGGAACATTATAGGTAGGTGTATACATTTTTTATAAATAAAATGTCCAACATATTTACATTGACACTAAAAAATCACAGGGTTTTTAGACAATATTAAAATCTTTTCGACGTTTAAACATTTCTTCTCATTTTATTATGTAAATACATAAGGTTAAAAATATCTTTTGGTATAACAACTGTACACTAATGATTTTCTTTTCTTATAAAATATTAGGATATAAATTAAAGCTTTTTTTTTTACTTGCATGATGCATACATGCATTTTATGTTGGATTGGGTTGGTAATCACTACAATACTTGCAAATGCAAACAAAACATGTTAGCTTGCTTTATTTTTAAGCTTTTACTGAATATAGGCTGTGATAATACTGATATTCCATGGGACCTTAACTAACCTTAGCGGGTATTATTTCTTTTGGAATATTGGTAGGCAATCTCTTTTTTCTTTGTCGAATTACTATTGCTATTAACAGATGTGTCTTGACTTCTAAACCTGGCCCATCAAGGGGCAAAAGTACTGAAGGCAAAGACGAGTTAGCCGAGAGAGGCACAATGTAGAAATCTTTTACTGTTGCCGTGTTCGAAACTTTTACGACACCCAATCTGAAAAATGTATCCAGTTAGTAGGTAAAAATTAAACAAAACAAACATACATCTTGTCGCATTTTATACTAATGAAACACACCTATGCCGACTACTAAGATAACTATACAATGCAATATATTGCATTTTCTCTTCATCATTTGCGGCTTGCAGCCTTAAAAGAACAATGTCTTTATTGCCAGCCCTTTTCATTTTAACAATGTAATCCCAAACAGTTTCTGGGTTAATCCTGCCAACCACATCTAATTCTGCAGCAAGGTCATCTTCTAAATCTAATGCATTACCTGAAACCTAATAACAACATATTAATTTAATAAAATACTTGTGAACAAATTTAAGATAAATCTATACAAAACAGACATTAAATTACCTCATGGGCCGCAACATAAAACCTTGCAACATCAACCATATTAATACAACCATTCCAAACTATTGGTGCCGAATTATCTACAGTGCTACTTGGTTCCTGATCACTCTCTGCTTCTGAAAAATATAGGATTGATTTTAGGTACGTAAAATGAAAAAAGGGTATAGAGAACACTTGCAAAATACATGTGATATATCAAAATCTAACAGTCAATTATATTATAAATGCAGATACTAACCTGATGCCTTGTCTTGTGTTACATAACTTTCTGTTGGGATTACACTGGAGTCAATAGAGAAAGTTTTTGAAGGATCATAGTCTACTTCACTGTAGTCATTCATTTCGTTTTTATAACTATCTTCATAAACATCTTCTCTAGATTTTCTCAAATCTTCTTCAGAAAACGCCGATGTTATCATTGGCTCATGAGGATCATATTCTGGATGTGCATCCTTTAACATAGCTGATTTTGGCCTTTCTATAGAGTCGGAATCTGTTGAACTGTAAATTATCGGAACAATAAGTATAATATATATAATGATCATAACAGATATTAGGAAACAAAACTTTTCACCATAAATAAAACTTACTCATTTTTGCTCTTGCTGTAAGTATTTTCTTGAGATCGAGATCTATGTTTTACCTTTTCGTCTTTGCTCGGACTGTGCCTAGTTCGCGATCTTTGTCTGCGCCTTGGGGTGTCTTTGGACCTCGAACGGCGTCTGGAGCGTCCTGAAGATCTTGAACGGTCTCGTCCACGTGACAATGATCTGGAACTATCTTTAGAATGTCTCTTTGACTTAACTCTAGACCGAGACCTATGTTTCGAGCGTTCGCTAGAGTCTGCTTTTTCTTTAGTAGACTCTTTTTTCATTCTATCTTTAGATTGCGACCTCGAAACGCTTGATTTTCTTTCGGATCTACGCGTAGACCGTTGCTCCCTATCTTTTTTGTCCGATCGTTTTCGCGAAGATCTAGATTTTCTATTATCAGAGTCTCTTTTGGACTCTCGTTTGTTTTTAGAGTGACTTGATAAACCATTTTCCTTATCTTTCTTTTTATTGTTACCATACTTTTTATTGCTGACGGAGTCAGTTTTCTTTGGGCTGAAAAAAAATTTTTTTACCAAAATAAACTTTTAAGAATTCTATATTATTATTAGAAAATCAATTACAATATGTACCAAAAGATCATTTCATCAATCAAATCAAAAATAAACATCTTTGTAATTTGTAACATTTTATTAGATATATTTTGTACAAATTATAAACTTACGCGTCTTTCGCATTATCTATTGACTGCTCATTTCCCATTGAATCATTCAAAGCAGTCACTAAATCTTCCACAGGAACATTTGGATCCAATTCTGTAGACACAGACTCTTTTGTTTCCATTACCTAAAACAACGCCAATTATAACTTTGTTTAAGTTTTATCATAATAGATATGACCTTCATATGTTAGCACTCCCGTTTAAGGTTTAAGACACAATTATTTTCAAATAATCATAATATCATTATGATTATACCTATAATAATATTTTCATATTAGCCTATTAGTTTATTAATTTTACTTTTTTCAAAATTACAATTTTGCTTATTAAATATAAGCCACACTAAATATGTTACTTATATGGTCACAGAAAAGTACAAGTTTATATTAAAATAATTTAAAATGTATTACCTCTTCTCCTTTATGTGTTTTCAGAACATAAGTTTTACTAGCAGCCAAAAGGTCTAATTCAGATTTTTTGATTAACTCTAGTTGATGCTTGGCTTCTTTATCTCTCCATTGCGCCAGTTCTTGACTTGCTAATTCTTCTGGGGATAATCTCACCTATTGAAATAAAACTGTTAAATTTAAAAATACTTTTCTCATTATGGTATTTGTATGTATATTGATAAAAATGTTACATACCAACTGCTGCGGAGTAATTGTGCGTTCGCATATTTTTTGCCATAGAGACAAATTCTTCCGGTCTTTTATATTGAACATAAGAGATCTATATTTCGCCTTGTATTTCATTCCCACATCTCTGAATAATTCGTGCAATTCAAATTCAGTGTCAATCGCGAACTGCTGAATTTCGTCCTCAGTAAACTGGGAACCGGAAGTCTCCGCCATTCGAATTGTCATTTGCTCCTGCAATGCCTTTCTTACATTATCCCTTATTGGTTCAGTAGAGTTCATTTTAATTTTGCCCTCAGAAGCGTCTTTTCTTTGTGGTGTTGATGGTGAAACTGAAGGCAACTAAAACAGATTTATTAGTAGTTACATGCCAAAATCAACTTGTTATCAAAGTGTAAACATATCAAGGTTAGTCTACTACATATGTGCTTAGCACCATGTGTTCATCTTTCCACAATTTATTAGCTAATAATTATGTAAGATAATGTTTTTAACATAGCTTAATAAGAAATATAGAAATAATCTCCAAGGAAAAGTTGTATATGTAATACAACTATAATAAAAAAAGTGCACCCGAAATAACGTATTTTAAGTAAATAAGGTGTATTGTGTGTGTATTGTATAGTGTGTTGTAAAATGATACTGTATAATTTGAAATAAGGTATATTAATTCACTTACAATATAAATATTATATAGTGAAATAATTACATTTGCAAATAATTTGACACTATGTGCAAACTTTAAAAAATTTAATCTAATTATTTAGAATTTAATATAAAAATATTAAGACTATGCATTTCTGTTATGGGGCATACATTAAACTTTGTAATATTAATACCAACATTTATTTATAAATTAGTAAAATACAAACCTATGACACAGAGGCCCACAAACTTATGACTATTGTTTGATTCAACTTCAATACTGTAAAATAATTCAAAGGGGTAATAAAACTTTACTTAAAACTAAGACTATGTGGTTTAGCACTATACGCTTAAGGCTCATTTCAGCTTATTCTACGAGATATCACATGAATACTAAGTGACTAATAATTCACAGTGGAATATTTGTGTTTGTGTTGTGTCCGACTGTGGCCGATTTTTATCTCTAAACTTATTTATCACATGTACTTATTTAACTTTTAACTATTAAAAATGTGTAGATAAAAAAATCGCAAAATTTTTCGCCGCCGCTAGATTCGAACCTGCGCCTTCCGAATTACGCATCACGAAGCTCTAGCCACTAAGCTAGGCGGACGACATCCTTACCTCCCTAAAATATCTATGTCGTTTTTCCTTTATATTTATTACACTTTTTGACAATGCTTTGGCATTATCTAAAGTGATTTTGGGAGAAAATACGCCTTCTCAAAATAAGAGATATCGTCTTTAGTGTTGAAATTGAGTTTTTAGTTTTAACAATTAGTTATAGTATAAGTAGTCTCTGCACTCAATATGAAACTTAAATGCATATCAAAACCTATCTAAGCATTTTGTATTTTATCTTTACATTGATGATTTCTTATAAATGATGAGCAACATAGTATTCTTTAAAGTAAAAATTTTTTCGTGATTAAACAGAATTAAATTATCCCCAACAATTTTTTTTTATAATTATTGGTATTCACGTAATTTGAGAAATAACATTTTTTTTATAGATAGTTATTTGTAGGCCTTACCTTTTCCAGAGTTAGCCGAGATCTGCTTGTAGTGCGTGCCAATTTTCGTGTTTCACTAGATTTAGTTAATGATGTAATATTTTGAGATTTTGGAGTATCAACAATTGGTTGCTGCACTTGAGGCTTTGGAGTCACTGGGGTTTTAGTTTGAGCAACTAATTTAACTTCTTCCTTAGGCGAGGGAAGTGGTTTTGCAACCTTTTCTTTTTGGTCTTGTGTATTAGCTTTTGTACTTGTTTGCTCGGTAGTTTTTCTGGGAATCTTTTCAAAATTTAATGTAGTCTGGATCTTATTTGAGTCACTAGATAATTTCTTTCTAGATGGGTTGGGTTTGATTGTGCTCAGAGTTCCTGGCCGCACAACTTCAAATGTAGGGTTTCTTTGTAACCACATTTTTAAATTTTCAGCAGTGGGAGCATTAGGTCCTGCAAGTAACCTTCCTGTTTTTCGTTCATACACAATGACCTGTAACAAGTGACATTATGTATAAAGTATAACTGGTAACAAGTGAAATGATGTTAAATGAACATCATTTCACTGATAACAAAAGTATAAAGCCTAAAAACAAAATAATATGCAAACCCTGGATTCTGCTTTAGTTTTGTCTTGAATTTTCCCTGAGTCATCAGATTTTGAAGGTTCTTGAGAGCCCAATGAATCTTGAGCATGTTTTAAAATACAGGCATCACTGCAGTAAATACTACTAGCTCGTGCTGATTTTCTGCATACTATGCAGCTTGTTTTTGAGCACAAATCTTTAGCAAGTACTGGTGTTGTTGGCGATTTTGTTTCTTGGTTCTTGATACTTTTGGTAGCTGAGGCAACCTAGTCAAAAGTGTTAAATTTTTTTATATGAAGTGTGATTAATGTTAAAAAATTATAGTAGTTTTAGACATGTAACATTTATCTTATATATTGATGTTTTTATAATAAATTAGCTGAAATCAGTCTAGTTGAAACTCCAAGAAGCTTCAACTAGATTTTTTTTTTGGAACTTTTATTTCATAAATATCATTAATAATATATTATAAATTAATTCACAAAGGCTTTTTTGGCAATACTTTAATAGCCTAAATTTTAAAATGGAAAAATTAAGAAAAGTTAATAATGTTATCTAAACCTTTTTTATAAACTTGTTATACAGAATGTGTGGTAATGCAATCCATTAACAATTGTTTATGTTAATTAATAAAATAATATGGTTAAAATGAGGATAATGAATATTTATAATTAAACAGTTATTTACTACTATATTTCAATAGAAAATACCTTGCCTAATTAAACACATACTTATAAATTATTATACTACTATTTTTTCAAGAAGTATTTCATTAAAACAATGAACATTTTAAATTCTAATATTGAATTGAAGAGTGAATAGATACCTTATTATTTTTATTCACTTTTGTGCTTTTTACACAGTTTGGACACCTCCACTCTATACCTTGCTCTTCCATTTGCTGTCCCATAACCTTTGTTATATTAACACATTTTCCATGGAACCAATCTTCACAACCATCACAGCAGATCATAAAACGATTATTATGTGGTTGTTTACAAATACACCAAAGCCTGTAATGATGAAATTTAAAGCTTTTTTTAGTATATCAAAGTAAAAAATATCCACACTGGTAAATAACTTGCAAGTGTTAAAAAGAGACATTAAATGCTTGAACTTTTGGTTTGTAGTTATAAAAGTTACATATATTTATTTTTGCAAGTCAAAAATTTTATTATAACTAAATACCTGAATGGATCATCCTCAGAGGTCCAATTGTCTTGAGATTCTACAATTGGTTTTTCAACAATTGGTGCCTGTGCCACCTGTTCTTGTTTCTTAGCTGGTATTTTCTTATTAACATATTGCTTTGACACTTGTTGCAAAATAGGATCAGGTGGTGAAATAACAGGGGAAGGTGGTACAGGAGTTGGTGTTACATTACTACTGACAGGGACTATTGGTTCCACTTGACTTTTGCGTTTAGAAGATCTTGTTGCAGGTGCCTCAATAGGGGGTAAAGTAATTACACTTCCATCACGCCGTACAATTTCTATAGGATCCTTTCTTGGAACAATGTTTTTCATGGTTTTAGATGATGTTTGTAACGTAGCTGTGTTTGTGTCCCCCAATTGTTGGGGTATTACTGGGACAATCGGTTGTGTTTTGACTGTGACACTATCAACTTTACCTAACACTTGTTTGTCAATAACCTCCTGCAGATTTTCAGAGCTTTCTACCAATTGTGCCACATGCATCAACAAGTCTTCAGTCAAGCCTTCTTCCTCTGGTTGTAATCCAGCTAATAAATCCAACGTGGGAGATAAGGGTCCAGCCAACCCCGGGCTGTTAATGACATTTACATTTGATGAAATACTTGGTTGGATTTTCATTGGTGTTGGTGTTGTTTCTTGAAGAATTTGAGCTAGGCTTGCATCATCCAATTGTGGTATTGCATCAAATCCTTTTACAGGCTTATCAGTTGGAATAGCAGTTTTACTTATTTGCTTTGAATAGGTTTTCTGTACTAAAGGACTTTTGATTTTCTCTGGAGTGTCAATCAATTTGATAGGGTCACTCAATTTTGTGTCAATTGCTTCGATTGGTTTTAAAACATTGGGTTTTTTATTTGTAACAACTGGTTCCTTTTCTGATTTGGATACTGTTTTGTTATCTGTGGACACACGTCTTATGACATCTGGAGTAGAAAATAATGAGGTCATATCAGAAAGCAAAGCAGTAACATGAGCCGGTGTCTTTTTCTCTTTTTTTAGAATTTTGGGTCCTTGCTTAGAAACATTTTTAGCTTGGTCACTAACAGCAATGGTTGTACTTATTGGTAGATCTAAAGAAATACTGTCCTTATTAGGCATTCCCAAATCTCTGTCTTTCTTTTCGAACATTGAAATTTTCTGTTGAATTTTTTCCTTTATATCCCTTCGTACAATACTTCTATTGGATTTGAATTTTGGTACAACTGTTTTAATTTCTGTATTTTTATCCCTTACTGACTGAGAACTTTTTAAAATTCGGGGTTTCAGTTTATTTCTTTTTAATTTTTGTGAGAGTGACCTGTCTTTTGTATCTTTATAGTCAGAATCTGAATCTCTGTCTGGTGCACTTTCACTGGATGAACTCATAGATGATGAATCAGTACTATCTTCATCTTTTTTCTTTTCATTGTCATTAACAACTTTTGATTTGGAAAATACAGGTAGAGGTTTATTTAAAATGTCATTACCTTTCATTATCACTGCGGCTTCTGTTGGATTTATTATAATCTTTTTACCTTTAGGTATAATTTGTTGTTCCAAAATAGTAATCTTTTTAGTACCTTGAATTGGCTTTGGCGGTGGAGTATGAGTAATTTCAATAACCGGATCATCAAAACTTGTAAATGCATCATTTTGTTGTGGGACTACTTGACTTGGTGATGTAAATGATGTATAACAATGATCATTATGGAATCCAACAAGACTATTTTCTCTAGTCTCAATCCTTAAGGACTGAAGCATTTCTGCACCACTGTCTGAAATTACATATTAAAGGGACGATGTTTACATTATGAAATGGTAAATTTCTTAAAAGAACATTACTATAAAATAACAGGTATTTGAGGCTTCCATTTCCTTTTTGTCCAGAACAAGAGTTAAGTTATGATCTTAACTGTCTTAAATAAGCTAATTTGCTCAAAATTTATTAATACATGTTGTGTATAATTTCAATATCATAATAGGCATATCATTTATTATTGTCATATGTAGAAAACAAAAGGTTTCACTTTAAACAAAAGGCTAATGGCTATGGCTGGTAATGTTACCAGCTCAAAAACAAAAATAATACATTTACCATATTTTATAATGCTGTTTGGTTCATCATAATAACTATCCACAGACAGTGTTACGTGTGGTATCTTGTCATCTTCATTTTCAGAATCAGTAGCATCATCTGGCCTCCCTTCATGCCCCACACGAACTACACTGATTCCAGCTGCTTGTGAACCATCACTGCCTGTATGACAATATTACAGAGACATACTCATATAAAATAATTCTAACAGCACATTTAATTAAACTTAACCCTTTAAAATAATGTGATGGAATGCTACCTTGTTTCTGACAATCCTTTTAGGTTTTGTAAAAATTTATTACATTAAAATTGACTATTTAATTTCAAATTGTCCTATGCCTGCCACTAGCCACTTGTATTAGCTACGCGCCACTGTCCTTGACCAATGTAAATCGGGCTTAACAATGCATTGTTGCACATTAGATACATGAAAGAAAGCAAATTGATAGCAATTTTACTTACCCATTAAAGTGCCTAATAAGTTCTGATCCACCGAGAGTGATCCATCTTTATTGACAATAACAACAACTGAACTATCAGTTTTTGTTGACGGTCCATTCAGATCTGTATAGTTTGTTATTACAGTGTTAGCCATTTTTCGTAAAATTCATGCCACTTTATTTTTAAAACTTGTCCTCTATTTTTAGCCACTTATAACACAAGCACCGCGTTTAACTATAAACACGCTTGACGCCATTTTGAAAACGAACAAGCAAGAAAAGGCGCCGAGTACCCCGTTTATGTTATATGTCCATAAATAAAAGTGTGTTCATTGAACAAAAATTATTAAAAATATATACAACGCAATATTGATTATACATTAGTTAAATTACAATGCTTATATCCAGTACTCAATTAAGGAGTTAAACAAAACACACAAACCAGACCTACAACATCAAACCACAGATAATACATAGACATTAGACAATAGACATTCGACTACATTGCATTTTTTCACAGATTGCATAAATAACCATATATTACAGAAACGTTAATTTTGTTTTCATGAAGCTGTTTCTCTTTCAGGCTCGTTGGCAGAGGGCCACGGGTAGGAAACCAGTACGATGTAAAAAAAATACCCATGAACCCCCAGTCCTCAGAAAGCAACTAAAAAGCACATAATTACAAGAGAAAACAACGAAGTTGGCACACGATGACGACCGACGAGATGACTCAAAGTCACGATGATTAAGGGGACACGATCCGAGGAATCCTATCTCCGTTTAGACCACAATGATATAATGTAACGGATGGAGAAGAAGTTGACGTTGCTATTTAATAGCAAGACATAGTGCACGAAAATATCGGTTTCATGATGTGCCTGCCTATGAACGTAAGATTTCAGTAATGTAATGGCTCCATAAAGGATAACTTGATGATTCTGCCAATGTCAAGGTTGAACAAAACAGACAGTAAGTGATATAATTGGCCGGTAGAGGCCTAGGCTTTTGTACGGTAGTTAGAACATCATACTTGACTCGTTGACTACCTGGACAAAAACAAACAATTTGTTAGAAGATATATAAATTCAAAAAATATAAATAAATAATGGTGGCTAAAAAGTTAACACAAACAACTATAAGGAATAGAAATGGGGATGTTAAAGTTTGATGTTATTAATACAGAGGAATTTATGAAGTAATTTGACAACACGGTGGTCATTAAGGGTTAAAAGGAATGGGATATTGACAGGTCTGGGGAAGTTGGAAGGAAGGATATCGTATAGAGGAATGGTAAGATTTGGACATGAAAAAAACAAGTATTCCAGAGTACCCTCTGCTAAGCCGCACTGACATAGAGAGTGGTCCAGGATACGTAGTTTAGCTAAAAAACACTGGGGAGCAAACATGTCCTAAACGAAGGCGAATAATTACAAAAGTAATTAATTTACTGAAACACTTGTATTTGAAAAACCAGGGCCCAGATGGGATATTAGGCTGGATAGTAGCATAGAATCTCCCTTTCACAGTTTTGGTTTGTTGCCATAAATTATTCCAAGTTTCCATTAAGTGAGGTTTGGCCATAAAGCACAGATCACGAGCAGGGATGCTAGAGTGGCATGGATCCCCTATCACAATAGCTTGTTTGGCATAATAATCGGCTGTTTTATTACCTAGAATACCCATGTGGCCAGGAATCCAGGCTAGAACAGTTTCAATACCCTCTCTTTGTACCTTGAATAATATTTCTTTTGTGTTAAGCATAATTGAGGAATGGTGTTTACGGTGGAAGGGAAGTTTCTTCAAATCCTCTAAACAACTACGGGAGTCACTGAGGATCTTCTCGACTCACAAAGTCTTACGAAAATGGGATTGGTTAGAATCTATATATTTTACTGCTTCTAAAATGGCTACTGCTTCACCTGTAAAAATTGAACATTCTGAAGGACATTTAAAACTTAAACTACACTGTAATTTGTGATATAAACAGATGCACCAATAAGGGATGAACCTGTTTTTGAAGCATCTGTGAATATAAGAACCCACAGTCAGCCCAATCATTCCTCACAAACAAGTTAAATTTCTGGTTAGCATCCAAGGTATTCTTGTCAATGCCAAGGTTTAGAATAATATTGGGATGAAAAATTAAAGCATCATAACTGGTAGTAAAAAGTAGGTAGTTTTCTAAGCAGAGAACAGATAAATGAGAGGATTTATATCTATTGTAACTATTTACTAATAAACGATGGGATTTGTTTGACCAATAAGGAGACAAGTTAATGGAGCGGGAGAGGAGACTTAAGGATTTTAAAATGGGGTCAGAGGGGAACTGAACAGCGTTGGAGAAGAATCTGTCAGCAAGAAACTGTCTACGGAAGTTTAAAGGAGATTCCACGCACTCCACTTGGAGGGCATTAATAGGAGAAGATTTTATAGCCCCAGTAATTATACGTAAGCACTTTGACTGGATTTTGTCAAGCTTACCAAGAGCCAACTTACTGCATGGTTCCAAAATAAAGCAGCCGTAATCAAAGTGGCTACGTACAATCGCGTTATAGAGGATCTTTTAAGAAAAAGGATGAGAACCCCAACGAACTCCCGACAAGGCTCTGAGGATGTTGGTGTTTTTGTCACACTTAGAATATATATATATTGTAAATGGGGAATACCAGTCATGTTGGAATCAAGGATGACTCTCAAAAATCTTGCCTGACTCTTAAATAAAATTGGTTCACCATCTAGAGATAAATGTAAATGGGGTATATTCCGTTTTCGACTAAAAACAACTGCATAGCATTTAAGAATAGACAGACTTAGACCGTGATCTTGAAGCCAATCATTTAGATAACCTAATGCGGTAGTTACTTGGGAACATCCATTAAACGGGGAGGAACAGGTTGTATACAAGGCTATGTCATCTGCATATTGTAGGATTTTGCAGAAGTTGTTGACCGATGAGTCAAGATTAGCAGTATAGAGATTGTAAAGGAGGGGGCTTAGGACTGAACCTTGAGGGAGACCTTTGCAAACGAGATGGGAGGGAAGGAAAGAGCCCTGATAACGAGCACAAATAGAACGACATGAAAGTAAGTTAAAGATGATGTTAATCAGCCTCACAGGGATATTCAGATTGAGCATTTTCTGCCTGAGTATTGGACGCTGGACGTTATCATAAGCAGAGGAGATGTCAAGGAAGACCCCCAATTACATGCTTGTTATGAGAAAATGCAAGTCTTATTTCAGCAGATAGGTTGCCAACACTATCCATAGTGCTTATACCACGCCTGAAGCCAAATTGTTTGTTTGAGAGCAGACCTCTACTCAAATATCCATTCTAATCTATTTCTGATAAGATGTTCAGCAATTTTGGCCATAACAGATGATAAGGCGATAGGCCGATATGATGATGAGTCACTAGGGTCTTTATTGGGTTTTAAAACTGGGATAATTGTTTGCGTCTTCCATGACTCTGGAATGCAACCAGAAGAAAAAATGACATTTATAATGTTAAGAAGAAATAATTTTGATGAATTAGAAGATTTGATTACAAAAGAGTAAGATAATCCGTCAACGCCTGGAGCAGAATCTTGAAGATTGTCAAGGGCACAGTAGAGCTCAGGATAGGTAAAAGGGTTATCCATTCTGTCGAATGCAGAAAGAAGGGAGGGGTAAGCAATCATAAGATGGAACAAATGGAGGAGCTAACTTATCAATAAAATTGTTCAGCCAAACAGAAGAATCACTGGTACAGATGTTTTGATCAGTAAATACACCAAGAAAATGTGAAATTTAGCGCCATACTACAGTCATAGAGGAACGGGGGGATAACGATTCGCAAAATCTAAGCCACCCTTGAGACTTCTTCTTTGCCAAAACTCTTTTTGTTTTGGCACAGACCTTGCAAAAAAGAAGAAAGTTCTCCATACTCAAATCATCCGCATAAGCCTTTTCAGCTTGATTTCTAAGACGAACGGAAGCAGTACACTCTGAATCCCACTATGGGGGAGACGGGACGCGTTTTTGAGGGGTATGGAATCTTTTGCTGCTGTAATGACACAAGCAACATAATCATTATATAAAGATAGGAAGTTAACAGGATTGGCAGGAGGAAGGAAGCTAATTTTTTCAAGCAACATAATCATTATATAAAGAATCTAAAATTTCAGAATACCTAACCCAGTCAACGGCAGAGAGTCTAAAACGTTGCAAGGTGCCCCACCTTAGTAGTTGGAGGAGAAACTTGTAGGAATTTTATTAATATAGGAAAGTTGTCACTGCCATATGTGTTTTTAAGTACTGACCAAGAGAGAGAGTTTATTAGAGAGGGGGGTGAGAGTGATAAATCAGGAGCATTCTCATTTTGCCCAGAAGGAGTCCTTCGAGTTGCAGATCCATCATTTAGAATGCATAGATTGTTATCATTCAATAGGTCAAGGAAGAAAGAAGAGGAAAAATCTGAATAGTTTGACCCCACATAGGATGGTGACAGTCAAAGTCACCGGAGACTATGAGGGGACTTGGGATAGAAGAGAGAATGGAGTTAAGTTCAGAAATCACGGAATTATTAGGATGAGGAATGTCGCAGGATATGAATGTAATACTTTTAGCTTTAACGGCCACTATGTGCAAATTACAGCTATGAGGAGGGATAAGGATCTGGGAGAAGGAGATGGATCTTGACACAAGAAGGGCACAACCTGCTTTTTCATCATCCCTGTCATCGCGGAAACATGAATACCCTGACAGCCTGAAAGCGGACCCGGGTTTTAACCATTTCTCCGAGATGGCAAGGACCACAGGTTTGAAGCGATTTGTTAAATAAATGAGTTCTGATTTCTTATGGCGAACACTTCTACAGTTCCATTGAATTAAAGTCGCCATTTTTGGTAATTAAAGTTTCGAGAAATTGTTGAAGAAGGATAATAACATTGTTCGATAGAGAGTCTGAGAACTTTGATATTATATTGATAAGGGAGCAAATAAGAAGTTCAATGAGATTATCATTGGGGGTAAGCATAGGAGTAGACTCTGAAGATGATAGAGCGCAACCATTAGGCTGAGTAGATAGGGGGGGTGCTAATTCTATTTCTATGGGTTAGGACAACATAGGATTTACTGAGAGGAGTTTTGGGACGAGGGGATTTGAGAATAGTTT